AAGGAGAAGGAGAAGGAGAAGGAGAAGGAGAAGGAGAAGGAGAAGGAGAAGGAGAAGGAGAAGGAGAAGGAGAAGGAGAAGGAGAAGGAGAAGGAGAAGGAGAAGGAGAAGGAGAAGAAGAAGAAGAATCGCAAACTAGATTCGTAGCAGGGATCGTGTTGGTACCTACTTACAGGTACGAAGAACCTACAGGTGACTTTGCACGCTTAAAAGACACACAAATTACCAAGTTGAAATTTGAATTTCACGCGACTTACCTCCACTTCCGGCGAGTCGAGGACAGGGTGCGAGACCATGCTGAGTTCATTCCCTTTTCGTGCACGGTGACAACAACACGCGCCAACTTAAAAAAGAGGAAAAGAAAAGAACAATGCCAAAACGTAGTGCTGAAGATCAAATATCACATTACGAACGTAAGATTAGAAAATTAAGAGAACGCGAAATCGGACGACGTCGCCGTATTCGCATCATATCTGATTCTAGGTAGGCGTAATAATTTTTTCTTTAGACATTGTTTACATTATTTGTTAACAACATGTGGATGAACATAATACTTGTGTTCTAATACCACTTGTTGATTATCGAACACGCTATCGACTTTCAACAGAAAAGGCCGTGAGCCTTGTTCGTTGAAATATTATTATTCATCAGGACAGGCCGCGATCCTCGTTCGTTGAAACAAAATTCTTCATTGGAGCAGGCCGTGAGCCTCGCTCGTTGAAGTAACTAAGTTAATAAATAGATGGTTGTAGATACTGAATGTTTGGAGCAAAGCCTTGCGCCACAAAACAATGAGCCTGAGCCCGTCGTGGAGCCCGAGCTCGCGCCCGATCCCGATCCTGACCCTTTACCGGATACAAGAGGCGAATCAGGCGATCCAGAGTTGGACCCTGATATTTTAGAAGCCCTCGGTGACATCTCAGAGTTTGGAGAAAAAATTCACGAAAGTTTGGCTAAATTATGACTTCCGCTTTTGGTTAAGGGCTTTCCTAGAGATAAGAAAGATTATTTATTAAAAGATTACCTCATACCCGATAATTGTACGTTGTTACAAGCACCTAAGCTAAATGCCGAAATATCTGCAGCCGTAGCGGACTCTGTTAGGAACAGAGACAAGATCCTAGTTGCCCATCAGCAACAATTAGGATCGGGCATAACTGCCGCCAACCGAGTGTTAAACATTCTTTTAAGTGGCGAAGACAAAAAAGCTTCCATAAATCATTTAAGTAATGCCTGCCGCATACTCTCGGATTTACATTGCAACAAACACGAATAGTCGCATTAAACTCATAACACCAAACCTAGATAAGAATTTTATCCACATCATTCAAGATTCAGTACGAGACGAAACCCTGTTTGGTAACAATCTTTCTGATAAGATCAAGGCTGCCAAAGCAATAGAACGTCAGGGTCTGCAAATTAAAAAATCTATTTCGAGATCTTCCGGACCTCAAACCACAAGCAACCGCTCTTCAAACTCGGGAAACTGGCCCCGGTATTCGTCGATTCGCGGCAACCGAGACGGGAAAAAAGCAATATCACAGAACCGCCGCGTATAACCGAGCTCGACGCAACAGCAGTCAGCGTAGAAACCTGCAGCAGCGATCAGGCCTCGTGCCCCGGCACCGCAGTACCTCAGGTACATGCAGGCAGAATTAAATACTTTTTTATTTGCTGGTCTAAAATAACCTCCAATACAGTCATTTTAGATTGGACACAAAACGGCCTGTCCATACCTTTTTGCAAGAAAGTAAATCAAAGAAAAATACCTCACAATACTTTTTCGAAGTTAGAGCATCAGGAAATGTCAACAGCGATTCAAAAACTAGTTAACTTAGGCGCCGTAACGGAATGTCTTCCGAGTAGAGACCAATTTGTTTCCAAAATATTCCTTGCAAATAAGACAAGCGGCGGCAAACGATTTATATTAAATTTAAAACCACTAAATAAATATGTTTTAAAGTGTCACTTCAAGATGGAAGATTACCGAACGGCGGCGAAGTTAATACCTCAAAACTGTTACTTAGTCACAACTGATCTAAAGGAAGCTTACCTACTAGTTCCTATTCATGCTAATCATAGAAAATATTTAAGATTTCAGTTTAAGATAAACAATCATAATACAACTTACGAGTTCACTTCGATGCCTTACGGACTTTCCGTGGCTCCTAGGGTGTTTACTGAGATTATGAGAGAAGTTATAACTCATTTGAGAAATGCAGGCTTTAATTCGGTAATCTATTTAGACGACATCTTATGTATTGGCAATACTTACGAAGATTGCATATTGACATTAACGAAACTTTGATACTTTATTTTATTTTATTGATTATGTTGTATACTTGAATCAATTAATTACAATTTCATTCTGTTGCAGATGAATGATTGCACCTCTTCAAGTTCTACAGAATTATTAAATGAAGGAATCTGCTTCAGAATTACTGACTGCATGTCGCTGTAACATCTGTGCTACAAAGTTTGATTGTTTGAAATATTGTAATTCTAAACTAAATTTTGAAACATAACTTATTATATGGAGTAGTTTAACCGCAAATCTAAAAAAGAGTCACCATGTTGCAGGAAATGCACTAGCATAATAACTATATTAATGTCAATATTGATATATAGATGTGTAACCTATAGATTTAGTGTTTTATATTAGTTTGATGTTAATAATATGACAATTTTTAGAAATATGTATAAGACTTTAATATAAAATATACACTAGCATAATAAGATTTTCTCGAAATTGGGAAATGCAGTGTATAGAAAATAAAAATATACTAAAATATAGGGAGTTAAGTATCAAGTACAAAAGATAAAAAAAAATACCATTTAGCGAAAAATATGAAACAAAATTAATTTATTAAATTTGGATTTTACAAATATCACAACTTATTATATATCTTCAACTTTTTTGAACTAAGTAATAAAAAATAAACAGAGATTGTATACAATTTTCTTACAAGTAATTTAAATTTCAACACAGGTACTTTACGCCAAAATGATGCCTTCTAAGCTCATTATTTTTCTCGTTAAGGAATTTATAGGTTAAACATCTATGGAGAATAGTAATAACAAAAGAGTTAATATGCGGAATCTTTAGGTTCATGATAATTTTATAAATTTATTTGAGAAGTAAAACTTAAATATTGTATTCTATTTTTACATTACATAATATTTAACATGACTTGTACTTTTGCAATGTTTTGATAGGAAAAGTTTGGATTGGGGGACTATTTGGAGCGTCGGCAGTGCAGTTGGCGCTTGACCGGATCATATTTTACATATCCAGGTACGATCTCCGCTATACAGTAATGCGTTCTTCGAATTTCTTGATAACATCCATCCGACATTCTTACTGTAATTACAAATTGCATACAACTGCATAGATATTCAAAGATATGTGTGAAGTCGACCAACCCTCACTGGCTCTGCATTGTTGAATAAGACCTAGTCGCATTCCTGAGGGTAGGCTCCGAGCTCCTCAGTGGAGTATAGTGTGTCCGTATAGTGAGCTTTTTGTTTTGCTTCAATGCATATTGTCTTGTTAGCAATTTTCTAAATATTTTACCAACAGATAGGAGCTAATTTCTTTCCAGTGTTATTGTATTTCTCCCGACGAGAGTGGCACTACTACTCCAGTGCTGTCAGAAAATATGACCTATCAAATAAACAAACTGGAACAAATAAGCATTTATCAAAGTTGGGGTATTTTGTTGGTGAACTAAACAATAATGGTATTATTACGAAAGCAATGAGCATTATGTTGCGTTCTTAAAATATGTTTGCTTTAGTCAGAAGATTAAATAAAGTTGCAATTAACGAAATTGTTTTATTTTTCCAAAATTGTTTTCCCTCGAATAATACTTTCAAACGTCAAAAAGGAAACTGACAGATTGATTTTTTTTTAGGTTGGTAGCAACGTAGACTTGTTCATAATATTGCTAGCATTGAAAATGTCAATTTTTATTCTCCGTTTGTGTATCTAATAAGTCAAGAGACCCGTCTCTTATTTTATGTACTCTTTGAAGTGTTCAATCAATGGGGTTGCATGATGTAAAATTGATAATCTTCATATTAAGTCAAAGACTAAACAACACTCAAAATTATTGCAGAGAACCGAAAATTATTTTAACATGTTCTTACCTTTATCTACTATAATTCTTGTATTTATCTACTTATTGACCCTTTTAAAATGTACTCAAAAGTTGATGTCATTTATTTAAGCGCAAAAGGACCATACGACACCAACCTTCGAGTACACAGCTCTTTGAATTATAAAAATCACTTTTTGTTTAATTGAATCAGATCATGTTTCTTTACATAGTATTTTGCAATGATTGAAATGAGTTATCGTTATCAAATTATTCCTATTACATAAGAAAAAGATAAATATTTTATGAACGAAACATCCTAAAAGATTTCTTTCCACGCAGAACAAAAATTCTTTAAAAAACGAGTTATATTTATTCTGTGCGGAACAAGGAAAAATGTTTGTATTCCGCCGCCGCTTTAACTTGAATAAGGTCGCGAATTGTTTTCTTCAAGGTAATTCCTTTCTATTACATTTACAGTTTAGATTCCGATTATCTTTTACTCAGTAATCAGTGAGGCATATTGTTAACTTATTAATTAGTTGCGCGGTCGTCACGGCTTGTGTTGTAGGTGTGTTATATTTATTACAGAACATTCTACGATAAACAAAGTTATGGGAACTTCATCTTCAAGATCCTTTTCTCCTAAATGTGGAACAAGTAAAAATGAAAATGAAAATCGTAAGTAATAAAATAAAAAGTACAATATTTGTAATATAAATATATCAGAATAAAATTAAGTCACATGTTAAAAAAAATAAAATCAATCGATATGTGTTTTAAGAACAATTCTTACGATATTAGTTTCAAGCCTACATAGTAACTATATTTGATTTTTATGACTAATGCAAAAAGTATAATTTTTATGAAAATATTTCGTTTTAATATTAATTTTTAAATTAATAATATACAAAGATTATTTCCCATTTAAAAACCATAAGTAATCATAATTTTTTTTTATCAATAGGTGGGACAATATCACGAACTGATTCAACAAACCATTATGTGGAATCTGTAGTTTGTAAAGCAAATGATCTGAAGGAAAATGAGATGAAAGTATTTGATATAGGAGAGGAGGGTAAAGTGTTGTTAGTTAAACAGAAGGGAGAATTCAGTGCAGTGGGCACTAAGTGTACACATTATGGAGCCCCACTTGTGACTGGAGCCCTAGGAGATGGAAGGGTGAGGTGTCCCTGGCATGGGGCATGCTTTAATTTGAAAACCGGTGATATAGAAGACTTCCCCGGTTTTGATTCCTTACCATGCTATCAAGTTACTGTGACAGAAAAAGGAGAAGTTAAAGTAAGTGCTTTTTTATATTTAATATTATTGATTTTTACACAAAGACGAAGTGTTTGTAGCATAAAAGTGAGGCATGTTAGAAGGCCTCGGGAGCTGGATATATGGATGTTACTTTGAAGGTATCTCCAGAACGGCAGCATGGATTCCATGGAAATTGGTCATAGATGTAGAACAAAGTCTGGACAAACACATAGGCTACTAATTAAGGTTTTTTTCATTCCGTGCGAACTGAGTCGCGGGCGACTACTGTTATAAACCTTGGACATGCAAGAAAAGCATCTAAAAATTCTGTGATTTTTCTTGCATATGTCAAAAAGTAATTCATTAAAAAAAAGTTAACTGCCGGTTAAATTTTTATAATCGTTCACGGAAATTTCATTTGTACTAAAATCTAATAATTGAAATTCCTAATGGCTATAGGAATTTTAATCTAAATTCCGTAATACCGGGATGTCGCGCTCACATCGCAAGATTGCGAGGTGAATAATAAAGATAAGGGCGGACTTTTATTAAGTTTATACTATTATAGTGCTTATTGTAAACTCCTAATTTTTTTTCTACATTTAAAAAAAGAGTTGCCGAATTTTTCGAGATTGCCAAATATATTATTGGACATAATTGTTTTACTTAATTTATTGTTTAATTAAAAATGTTAGAAAAAATAAGCAATAAGACAAAAGCCCTGGCGTCATAGCAGAACTTACAAGTCCATTAACTTTTTTCCGTAGTTTTATAAACTTATATCATTAACGAATATTGTTATTGCTGCAAATACAATTTAATGAAGACTATGTTAAGTAAAAAGGTTTGTCGACGTTGACATGGACGAAAAGTCGTATAATGAGAATGGAAAAGGCCGGCAACGCATTTTCGGTTCGTCTAGTATTGCGGACGTCCAGAGGTGTCGATAATCACCTCTGTGTTCCCGCCGCTCGTTTGCCTTCTTCTCTTATGAAAAAAAGTAAATAAAATCGAACTTAATTTACGTCCATTTCTGAGACCGAAATCTCTGTATAAAACATATCCTTTTCATGTTTGACAAAACAGAGATAACAATAGGTTTTAAACGAGGATTTTGACTCGTGGTTAGCAGTTAAAACTTGTGACTAACAAATAAGTGAGTAATACCACGCCTAACATTGTTATCCGCTGGACGAAGGCGTTTCCACCTTATCGTTTTACGGTTTGTTCCAACTTAATAGACTTTTATGTATTGGAAAACACGTTAAAGTTTTATTGGAAACTTAGAATTTGAAAAACGAACTGAATTTATAAAAGAAATCTATGGAAAAAGATCTATATAATTATAGTTAAATAACGTATTATAGTAAAATTAGCGCCAATGATAAATTATAAATCAAAAAGTTCTAAGTTGGTCATGGTCATAAAGTGGGAAAGACGAATTAAAAAAAAACGATTTAGTTGCTCTTTAGCTTCGTAAATAGTTGCTTCAGCATATGAATCTGAGAAGTTTTTTTTTTTCAAAGGAAAAAAAGAATTTTTATAAAGAAATTTTATACTAATTGCAATGTCAATATGTCTCGATCGTTAGTAGGTTATTGTATGATAAATGATATATGCCCGAATTCTGAAACGTCACTCAAATATCTACTTTCGTAAGCAGTGCTTATAATTTAAGAGACGTCAAAACTTAAGTGGAATTCACAAACGCTAATCAAGACATCTAAGCGCGTGATTCCGTAAGTAGACGTAACATTTTTACGTCATGGCAACAACCTCTGTTCTGTGTCAAAGAGTATGTAGAAAAGATTTGTTCTCAATTACATTTTCTTAAAATTAACTTTTTGTATCCGGTTCACGCAGCAAGGGTTAGACAATGTATAGTTGTAAGATGAGTTTATTCCCAAATATCAAAGAATATTAAAAAAATACTGCATGCTATGAGTATTTCGTATTTTTTTAATTGATAGCAAAGAAGATTATAATAAAAGAATATCATATCTATTTTAATTATTTTTAACAAAAAATAAATAATTTTGGCCGTATATTTGTAGAATGGAATGCACCGGACATTATTGTTTATTTTGATATTGTGAATAATAACAGTGCGACGTTTTCAAAATATTCATCTCCTTCAATCAAGAACCTTTTTTTTAAAGTTGGAAGCGTGTTACACATTAATTTCCACAACTCGTAATAGACTATGGAAGAAAAGAAAAAAAGGGGAAGTAATTATACGTCTTTTGAGAAAGAAACTCTTTTAAATCTTGTATACAAGTAAGCACTAATATTTGTTATATAACTTTAATAATATTTAAAGCATTATTAAATAAACATGTTTTTGAAGATACAGGGATGTTATAGAAAATAAAGAGACGAATGCAAACATTATTACAAAGAAACGAGATACTTGGGATTCTGTGTGCCAGCAGTATAATTCAGTAGCTGTGAGTGGCACCAGAACATGGCAACAACTCCGCCACTTATACGAAAATATGAAACAGCGGTCAAAGAAGAATTTAGCTGAATTCAATGTAGGAAAATTTTATATTGCTTTCAAGATAAATATTACAAACATAAATGTTCAGTAACTATTATTTATTTATTTATTTAATACCACAATATTTTTAGCGTCATCAATTTTATGAAAAATGTAAGGAAATTAAAAAGAAGGCAGCTATGGATAAGGTATGTATATTTTTAATTTCTTATCAAGTAATAGAAGATATCATAATAAGCTTTTCTTTTCACATATCTATAGAAAGAAATAAATCTCACTGGTGGTGGTGCTTATAAACGTATACTTACCGAACAAGATGCACAAGTTTTAGCTATGGTAGCTCCACAAGTTCAGCCTCTATCCAATGTATATGATGATGCTGCATTATATTTTGGTTAGTGTAGCATATTGGCATTACAATTAGTACATACATTTTATATTCAATAAAAATAAGTTGGTATATTGCCATTGAAATGTGCAGCCTGGAATATGAAAACTCTGTTGTTTCCGATTGTATATCTTCATCATAGTCATCATATTCACATACTTATCCCACTCGTCACATATCATCCCATCTTAACAATCTTTCTTTTCTGCCACATCTGCTCTCTTTTCATGCGCCCCTTTCACTGCCCAACATTATAATATTTTATTTTTAGGTGATGAAGCGAATACTTATAATGAAAATGAAATAAATCCACCAGATAATTTGCTTACCATTGAAACAAACACAGATAATTTATGTGTGCAGAGTGGTATGTACATACAGATAATAATGCAGAGTTAAGGGAAATATGATCGTATTCCCTAAAACTACCGCTCAGGTTTTTTTTATTACAGTATAGTATAGTAGAATAGTTTATTTTTTATTATAGTATAAATTCTGCTAGAGGATATGCGTAGGAAGAGGGTAGACTCGGATATGACAGCTGATAGAGATGTATGGAGGAGTAGTACATACTGTGCCGACCCGATAGGGATAAGGGCAGGTTGATGATGATGATTTCCATAAATTCTGGTAATTATTATAAAATAATTGTTACAAATGTTTAGTATTAATACAGTTTACTAAACTTTGTTTATAATCATTTTTTAGATAACCATGATGCTACCCACTGTCTCACTATAAATAATTTACCTGAAAAGGAAAATGTACCTTCAGCTGCTACCTCAAACCCTGGTAAATATAATTGTTTGTAATCTAGAACCTTATTTACCTTTTTGAAGTTATTACTACATTGTTAAATTTATTTATTGATAAAACTTTTTCAGGGCAGGCAAAATCCAAAACAATTAAAAAAAGGCATGGCGATGACCTTAAGCATGCTTATTTTAGAGCAAAATTAAGAAATGCTAACTTAGAATATAGACAAATGATTAGTAAACATAAGTTAGAAATACAAATACTAAAATTAAGATTAAATAAATTGAAAACTAAATGAAAATGAATTAATTATAATAAAAATAAATCTTAATCTATTATTCCTACTTTTACTTTTATGTTATGATGATATTCTATTAATCAAAATGAAAAAAGACCAATTGAAACTTTGTTTATATTAAATTTTTTTATATTATTTTGTTTTATATTATAAGGTGGCAAACGAGTTAACAGCCACCCGAAATCCCTGACCACTGTTAAAAATAAATATTGTTTCTTTTAAAAAATAAAACCAAGTTTAAAAAGAGAAATGTGTATTGATTAAGGTTGTCCTGATAATAAAATTTTCATTACACTCAATGCCGACAGGTGGATGCATAAACTCTTCCATGTCCACGGTGTCCTCTTCTAAAAGTGGATCGTTCTGTAAAACTGCAATATTGTGCAGTACTGCGCATGCAGTGATGACAGCTGGAACATTTTTTATGTTTAAACCCATCCCCACTTGAAGGCAAGGAAATCTTCGTTTCAGAACGCCAAAAAGCCTTTCCACAACGTTTCGGGTTTTAACATGTGCCTGATTATATGCTTCTTCAGCAGGCGTTTGTGTATTTAGTATTGGTGTTAAAAGGTATGGTCGACAGGGGTAGCCACTATCTCCAAGAAGCACCATAGAGCCAAAGTCGCCACGTTCAAATTGGGCACATAAGGGTGAATCATTAAAAATTGTGCTATCGTGCACAGAGCCAGGCCATCTGGCAATTATGTTTCTTATGCATAAATTGGAGTCGCACACAACTTGAATGTTAAGTGAAAAGTATCCTTTTCTATTCCGAAACATTTCTGAATTAGATCCCCCTAAAAATAAACATAAATATGAGTATTCCTCGCCTTTAATCATTTGTTCATCTAGTAATAAGTAGTTAACGGTGTACATACCTGGTGAGTTAATTTTAATATGAGTGCAGTCCACTGCCCCCACTACTCTGGGAAATCCCGCAATGGAGTAAAACCTGTGAGACGTATTAATATATATATATATATCATTTATTGACGAAAAGTTCGAAGCAGGCCGACGCGGGCAAAGAAAAATGTCGCTACAAACCTATTTGCAATTCCAATATATTCTTCTGCAGTCGGCATTTGGATATAAATAGGTTTCAACTCTGCTATCTTTGCAGTAACTCTATGAACGATCCTATGTACCGTCGCTTGTGCTACGTTAAAAGTATCTCCTACCATTCTTTGGTAGCTCCCGGTCGCATAAAATCGCAGTGCAATAAGTATTTGGTCTTTCGAACTCAGCGCTCTGTTCCGTCGTGTTACCGGCTGAATAGTTTTTCCGAATACGGAGTCCAAATAGAGAACAGTTTCTTTACAAAACCGAAACCTTGAGCGAAACTCCGCATCCGTGTACTTTGTGAAAGCATCGACTTTTCTGGGGTTTCGCCGACATACACTACTCCTTTCATGGTCCGAAAGCGATGATAACGACGATAAAGACATGGTTTCTCGTAAGGTTTTTGAGATTTAAGATTTGAGAGAGATTTGAGATGCCTCACGACCGCTCTTAAATTTTTGACAAACTTAAGTCGACATGACAGTTCATTTGACAGAAAAATGACACTGAGTGACGATTGAGAATACGAAATTTGGTTTGAGTGGCCTGTAAGCATCGTCTTACTTGAGTAGCCTCAAATTTGAGATGCGCCTTTAACTGACGTTTGAAAATTCCATATTGGAGTTTAAGCGTGGTCTTATCTTTTAAGACGCCGTTACATATTTGAGTGACGTTTCAGAATTCGGGCAATAATCAATTAGATTAGAAATAAAATGATTTACATTGATATATTTACTTGATAAGTTTTCTTTCAATCAATCATGTTATCGCATTATATGTAATCAGTCTGGTATTGTATATATATAAATCAATATTTATCATTTTATAGTACTTGGGTTTTTTATTTATTGGAGGAAGGAAATTAACAGTGTAGTTACTTGATAATTGTTATAACTTCCTGAAGTCGAATAGTTACGTTTTAGTCAAAAAACTTATTACTCTTACTAATATATAAGGGCGAATGTTCGGATAGACTGATGGATGTTTCTTAGAAGGTATCTTTAGAACAGACCGTCGGTGGCTTAGCAGTCAGGCCCTTGACTTGCAATCTGCAGGTCCTGAGTTCGAATCCCGCCATGTACCAATGTGTCTTTCGATTTCCGCTTGGCATATGTACATTTATCCGACGTTCTTACGGTGAAGGAAAACTTCGTGATGCAACCTGCAAATATCTGAGAAGAAATTCAAAGACATGTTTGAAGTCAACCAGCCCGCATTGGGTCAGCGTGGTTGACTATGGTCTAGTCACCCATAACTTAGGGTAGGCTCCGAGTCCCTCGGTGGGGACGTATAGTGAGCTGATGATGATGATCTCTGGAACGGCTGCATGGAACTCTTTGAAATTTGGCATAGATGTAGAATATAGTCTGAAAGAACAAATAGGCTACATTTTGAGTTTTTTTCTTTTAATTCTCCGCGGATAGAGTCGCGGGCGATAGCTTGTTTTTAATTAGTTTAATTGCCGCGGCGTCTTGGTATATTAAATGAGCCTTGTTCAAACTTGTTAGTTATCGTAACTTCGCTTTAAACAAAACCATACAGTTAACTTTGGTAAAAATATGTTCGACCTAGTTATGTGCTTGAACAAGGTCTCTTTCACACTATGAAGGATAACGAGTTATTTTGTGTTTCTGATATGATCCGTTACTAATTTTTTATTGTTAAGACTAGCGGACCCGACAGACGTTGTCCTGTCTACATGTCTTTAATTTGAATAAATTAATATGAAGTTAATATTTGATGAAAATTGTGAATCTAAACCATTCCCAGATCCCCTTGAACACACACAAAAAATTTCATCAAAATCGGTCCAGTCGTTTGAGAGAAGTTCAGTGACATACACACTCACAGAAGAATTATATATATAAATATAGGAACAAAGTACGTAATGTTCTTATAATATTCGTGACGTATACTATACTGTTTTCATAAGGTGCAAAAAATATATATTTATATTGCTTTAGTACTTTAAGAACATTAGCTTACATTTTTTTAGTCTACTAAAGATTAGATAAGGATATCAAAATGCATATAAAATTATCGATCGGATTCTATTGAACTTTATTACGATTTTATGTTATGATGTATCATTTTTTTTCCATTTCCTTTCTACGTTATTTTAAAAAGATAGGTTATAAAGACTATACAGACAATTATGTATACAAATCAAGTAAAGAATTACTTAAAATTAAAAAAGAAGAAAGGTGTGCCATTATTGCACAGGAAGTTCGTAATCTCTGCCTACTCCAATTAGCATGAGTGTCATGTTTTTAATTATATTATTTGACAACGTTTAAAACGTAATTATTTCCGTTTTTTATCATGTTATGTTTTCCATTTCGCACATGTGATCAGAATTAATGTTTAGTCATATGTGATTTTTTTTGTAAGATTGTTCGAAACATGACGTAACTCTTTGGAATTTATATCTATGGGGCTGACAGAACAGCGCAGTCGCCTTCATAATAAAGTTATGTGGGGTATAAAGTACATAATAATCATATGAACATTGTTTAATGTCAATCTCTTATTAATTTATTAAATTCAGTTTACACTCGCGTATTTCTTACTAATATTATAAATGTGAATGTTTAGATGAATGGATGGATGGATATTTGTTTGAAGATATCTCCAGAATGGCTGCGTGGATCTTGCTGAAATTTTGCATACATATAGAACATAGTAAGGACGCACATAGGCTATTATTTTTTTTTATTCCGCATGGACGGAGTCGCGAGCTACAGTTAATTTGTACATAAACATAGATCTCTGGTTTTTCTAAGACTACTTTTTTTCCTAAATAATCAAAATTTAAATGTGATCCGAGAGTAAAATGGACGAGGAAAAATTTCTTGCAATTCTGCGACCTCGCTTACCGACCCTGTCCGTATTTCACATGACTACTATGACGTAATAATAAAGGCGTGCAATGTTTTCAAACTGCATTACGTTACTTTGAGTTTCCACCGTAGAAACTGAATTATTGTTTTTGTAATTCTGTGGTAAAAAAAAACAGAAATAAATTAGATTTTTTATGATATAATATTTTAGTACATTTTTCTTAATTTACCAATTTCATTTGTACCATACTTTTAGACATTATTAATTACAATTCTTTGGCGCGAATGACGTGCTCTCGTTACAAAGTCTAGTGTCAGAATGAATGTGGACACAAACGTCGACATTTTAGTAAGGCTAGTGTTGAGGCAATACATTGACTCATTTTCGGATTTTATTTCTAACAATACCAAGTAAGGTCTAGGCTTGTAGTAGGGTATGGTTTACGACAATAGTAAAATAGCGGGATTCGAACTCCGTACCCTTTTTTTCCAGAAAGAAATGTTTTATGCATACTCCGCGCTCCGGGGGGACGCGGTAGTTGTGTGGGATTCTCCTCCATAGCGGAGGCATACACACTAAACCTCTCTGTTCCTCCAACGTATCGGGACGGGGCCACAGGCACGCTTTCGCTCTCGTCCGCGACCCAAAATGCAGTACTCCGTACCCTTAACCATTAGGCTATTGGCCCTCTATAAAACAACGAAACAGGGAAAATATGTTTTTAAATTGTGATTTTCGCAGTGAAAACTTGCTGCATAATGAAAAGAGATAAACAAAATATAGCAAATAAACATAATACGTGTTAACAACACTAATTATATTTTATGTTTTATGGAATTACCAACAGTCCATGTGACTCAGTAGAAATGACTTGTTAGCTAAATTTAGACTCTGAATACAGAAATCACACGTCAAATGTTTGTTTCTAAATTAGTGGCACGAAACATGAACAAAAACATATCGTTATCGCAGTTTTTTTTTAAGAAGCATGAAAGAGATGACAGCATTGTTTTATACTAGTGTTTCTGCAGTGGAAATCCACGAGAAACGTTCTAATTATTTGCAATATCTCAACTCATATCCGCTGTTTTATTATTCATTGTAACTCATTGATTTATGTACACAGATGAAGTAATCGTCATAGATCTCTATATCTCTAAGAGTCTAAGCAACGTGACGTGTATCCGTTGTTTTTGTATATGGAATACGAAGATAAATAACTAAGAATTATTTCTAATTAATTATTTAATGGTGGTTAATTAGTTAGCCGTCAAAGATTCAGAGAGAAATTAATAAAACTAGGGAGCGCAATAAGTAATGATAAATATATAGTAACTAGCCGTCGCCGCGACTCTTTCCGCGCGGAATTAAAAAAAATGTAACCTATATGTTCTTTCAGACTATGTTCTACATCTGTAACAAATTTCATAAGAATCCGTTGAACCGTTCTGGAGTTGCCTTCGAACAAACATTCATCCATCCATCTCAAGATTCGCTTTGAGCCTGTACCTTAATAAAAAATCTAAGTTGTTAGTATCCATCCATTTACACATTCGCATTTATAATATAAGTGAGATTCTTGTTAAAATGTGTTTTTGGTTAGCAAGAATATAGATATAAACTAAAAATGAAAGGTCCTATATTGAATAGCTCAGAGTTGGTTATGCGAAAGCGATGCATTTTAACATTGTTCATTGATTCTCATTCGTTTAAATAGAATGATATAACCTTGTTGCATTTGATGGAACGTTGAAATAGTCACACCAAGGTCACACCAAGCTCGATAAATCGTTACAAAACAGCTTCACGGTACTGACAATTGAAAGTTAGTGTAAAACAGTAAATATTTTATGAACTACAACTACGAAGTTGATTGTTTCATAAAATATTTGTTTTATACACACTTGTAGCTGTGCACATATTTTAGATGCTTAGAATGCTGTTTCATTTTTATCCAGCACTTCATCACCAGCTCACTATACACCCACTGATGGGCTCGGAGCCTAAGTTAGGAGTGACTAGGCCATAGTGAAATATTCAAAAATCTTTCCATTTTGATAGTTATAAAAATTATGTAATTTATCTATTTTCGCATTACAGGTGCGCGCTAAAATATCGGATTTAAAATCCAACAAGAGATCAAAGGATATGGGATCAAGAGCGCCCTGCGACGACACTTCAGTAGTAATCATCGGCGGAGGTCCTTCGGGCGCTACTTGCGCTGAAACTCTACGGGGCGAGGGTTTCAAGGGACGCATCACTATTGTCGCCAAAGAGAACTACCTGCCTTACGACAGAATCAAAATATCAAAAATAACAACACCCACAGATATAGAGAAACTGCAAGTCAGAAACCAAGACTATTACACAGACGCAAATATAGAAATCCTTAAAGGTGTCGAAGCGACCAAACTCGAGCCAGAAGCGAAAGTAGTTCATCTGAGCAACGGAAAGAAATTACCTTACAGTACAGTTTATATTGCAACTGGATGCAAACCACGAGTGCCCGATATTCCAGGCATCGATTTGAAAAATATATTCACAGTTAGAAACTACGAGGATTCCGTAAATATCCTCAAAGCTTTAGGTTCAGATAAAGACAAGAACGTGGTCGTTCTCGGACTCAGTTTCATCGGTTTGGAGGCAGCGGCGTCTTGCACACAAGCGTCCAAGTCTATGACCGTCGTTGGCAAAGACACCGAGCCCCTCGGATTAATATTCGGACCGGAAATTGGCAGGAGTCTAAGAAAACTATTTGAAGAGAAGAATGTTAAATTCCATTTCGAAACAACAATTACCAAATGTATCGGTGAAAATGGTATGATAAAGTCCGTTGAACTGGCCAATGGTACTACATTACCCGCAGACCTGTTGATTTTGGGTGTGGGAAGCACATTCTATACAGACTTCCTCAAAGATAGTGGTATCGCACTGCGGCCGAATGGTGCGGTTATTGTATCTGATAAACTGGAGACGAATATCAAAAACGTTTACGCTGGCGGTGATATCGCTTACGCACCCGTGTTCGCTCATAATGACGAACAAATGGCCATTGGACATATAGGTCTTTCCCAGTACCATGGCAAAGTTGCCGGTCTTAACATCTTGAAGAAGGAAACTCAACTCAAAACTGTGCCATATTTCTGGACCATGCTCTTTGGGAAGTCTATACGGTATGCAGGGTGCGGTAAACCATCTAGCACACAAATAGAGGGAGATATTGATGCATTGAAATTCGTTATATTTTTCTTTGATAACTCGGATAAGGTTATAGCCGTGGCATCATGCATGCGGGATCCTGTAGTCTCTCAATTTGCAGAACTTGTATATCAAGGTAAATCTTTATACAAGAAAGATCTAAAGGATGATCCTTTCGCATGGACAAAGTAGATGTAAGATTCAGTATTATTTATCTTAGTATTATCAATTCAATTGTGGAATTTGATATAGAGAATGGCTCTGTTCTGTAACAGTTTAATTTTAAATCGAGTATTTTTAATTGAAATAGGATGTTATTTAAAAAATTTCATGCTTGTACACATCTATAATATTTATAATATAATAAACATTTTTAACTAAAAGACTTGTTGAACTATAGTTTATGTTCATAATGTATTCATGTAGATTATGAAAAGGCCATCACTATCCTAAGATCGAATCTTTTTCAGAACAGAGCTATGTCAAATGTACTCACAATGCAATAAAAAACTTCATTATAGCTTATTGCACATAGTGCTTCAAATCTTAATTTATATATTATTTAAAGCAAATTTATCTGCTTCTAATAAAGGTATTAATATAAAATATTTATTTGCAAATATTTCTGTGAATTTATAAATTAAACTATAAAATAAGCTAATTTTGAAAAATATTTAAACAAGTATTTATAATGTTCAAGTTTTATATGTGTCTATAAATGTGATATTACAGTGTCCATGTACTAGTTATGTGTTAATAAATAAAGTATATAATGTTATAATAACACGGATTTTATTCGGATTACATCATTGGTACCATATTGTATGAACTATAGTTTAGAAGATAGAATGCATACGAGAAGAGTAAAAGCTACAAACTCACTATTTCTTATTGTATATTCAAAAACAATACATTTACAGTAATTCTACCAAATAATATAATAAAAACAAATTCTTGCTTAATCCCAACTCTCCTTTACTCTGAGGTGTTTCAATCTTTCATAAAGTGTAACATCTTCCTTGAATATTTTTAGATTTTTATCACGACATGCCCGCTTTCTCTCTTCTACCTTTCCCATTGCCTTTACGTGTCCTGCGCTTTCAGCCTAAAAAATAAACAGTTATTACATAAATATATGTATGTATTTAGGTTAGAATCTTGACAATTTTTTACCACTTTTATATAATAAATTATTTTACCTCTGTCAGATAAGGGAACCTCAAGTAAAACATATTTTGTTCTTCAATAGCAAAATTTTCTTGTAAACGACGAAGGTGGCGGGGTTCTACTCTTTTAACTAAGCGATCTTTTCCTCTGAATATATGTCCATTAGGCAATCGATTTCGCCTAAACAATATAAGCGACAACTTCATTTTGAAATATTTTCGATTTAATTACTTGCATGTAATTATATAAGAAGGAGTAAAGAGGTAAAATTATTATATTACGAATTGAAATCACACCATCACACACAAAAACAAAGACCAAAGACAAATTAAACTTTTTTGCTATGGTCTATGGTAAAAATCATAGATAAGACTTTTACTCTTTGCTATAACTGTGTTTTTCGGCTAGCAACCCGAGAGCAACCTAGCAACATTTATCATTGTCCCATCATTGTCTATGGTGTATTATGGCTGTCTAGTCGATCGTCAAGCAAAAGACCGTGTATTTTCTTAAGTTAATAATTTTAATAAACTCTATTTTCTATGTAAGGGAATTGTTAATAGTAACTCAAGAACCAAGTATGGCATCAAGGGGCTGAGGATTGCTTAAAATTTGGAGCAGTTCTCGATTTTGGTAAGCTTCTTATTGTTGTTTGTAGCTTCCGTAATTATAATGCACTTTCTTTTATAATTACTTCTAAATGCATCTATTCTTGTTTTCTGTAATCTCTTAACTTTATTTAACAGAATTAATTTGTAAATACGATGTCTAAACCTTAAAAGTATTTCATATTGTAAGTCCATCTGGGATACCCTTTCACTTCAGTTTGTACAGAAATTTTCGTGCTCTACTTATTTTGAAGGTGTTTTTTATCCATTGTTCTGACCAGAGGTGTTAGCTATGCCATCGTATACCAATTCAAAGGTTTCATTTTTTAAAAGTAATTTCTATTTTGTATTGTGAGGGGTCCCTGATAATAATAATTGTATTATAAAACACATAATTAAATAAAATGACCTACTTAATTTTAGGGGAATTATTTAATTTCTTATTTTAAATAAATCAATTATGTTATTATATCTTATTTTATATAAATCAATATATAATTCTATAAGTTATACAAATTTGTAAAAATGACCTACTATGAAAGGCAAATTGTTACCTTTTGGGGATATCTATTTTAAATTACATCTTGAAGAAAATCATTATAAAGAAAAATGCTATATTAATATTATCTTCTTCTAAAAACATTATTCATGTGTGTAAGCAAAAAATATAAAAAAATAGCAAGTAGTAAACAGCTATTTTTTGTGACTTTACGAATATCATTTATTTTGTGTGTAATAATTATTATATATGAAACCTTTAAAAACACAAGAAATGATAAACAAAACTGGTTATGTTGTAACAAAGAATAATTTGCCTAAATAAATAATTTTCCACTGATATCATTTGACCCCTTGACCTTTATATCTTTTAATAGTAAGAAAGACATATTATGTTTTTTTATTCATTGACACATTTTTATTTGATTACTAACAAATACAACAAATTCTGATCATCCATTGTTCAAAATTCAATGTTGTAAACTAATAATATAATCTTTAATAAAAAAACACTTTTTCACATTAATTTTAATTGTCTCGAACAATGATGCAAATTACAACATGTTATTTAACATTGGATAGGTATTTTGGTTCTGAACAAAAGTTACTATTATGCCCAGACCAAATCTTAATCCATTCTGAGATAATCTTTTTCAAACATATCAGTTTAGTACAACAACAATATAACACTCATCCGTAACACAGAGGGATAAGCAGATACCACAGACCTCTATTTGGTGCACTCCTGACACACCTCTCTCGCTTCTTCTATATGTTATATATATTCATACATCTTCCAATGCATGGACCTCGGTTTTGGTGGCTCTTTATGCCACCCTTTTTGAGTATTTTATTGACCTGAACGGTAAAAGTCCATCTAGGATGGCCCCAACCGACACTGCAGCTCACTTCCAGTTTAGTAATAGTCAAAAACAATGTATAATCAAGTTATTTAAACATACATATATCTAGGGCTACTCTTATATTTCCTTATTGTTAGTTGTAATCGGTAATTGCAATTTTGCATGTTAAATGCATGAAGACATTCTCCTCTTTGTTAAAAATTTTAAACTTGGAACCTGATAAAAAAATAAGTTGTGGAACGACTGACCTATTACTAACTATATTATTTGTTAATAATTATTAACATACACAGGTCACGCAATCACACGGTAGAAACCTTATAAAATATGACATTGAATCTCCATTAATGTCTACATCTCGTTGCTGCGAAGTTTCAAGTGGTTTAAGTGCACTTTAAGTTACGCTCAGTGCATCATTGCCGTATACTTAAGTATGCACTTAAGATCTGCTTGAGACATCTTACTTGTTTAATATTGTGCTTTTTAAGTTTTAAAAAAATATGATAATCTATATAAGCATTGAGATAAATTTTAGTTTACTTTAAATTATGGTAATGAAGTGTTTGCTCATTAATTCTTTATGGTCAAATCAATACTTTATCTCTAATAATAATAATTTTAACCAAAGGGTAATGATTATGTGTTTTCATATTTAATTGTCACACATAACACTCAGGAGTATGTAATTATTATCCAAATGTTTTAGTTAAACATTGGTTAATATATTTTGTCTTGACTCGGATGAAAAATTCTTCCGCATTAGATCTGGTGAATGCATTGAAAAGGTGTTTTGGTAGTGAAAAGTAATGGATAAGAATCCAGAGTAATGTTGCAATTTTTAATCTTTGGCTAAACTCTCTCAGAAACAGATAGTTCTATGATTTATGCATGTAACTACATACTTATTCCTCTTAGAACTAAGTAGAAATAAATGTATGCTTTGTTTTCCTAATAATTGTTACATGATACCTTATCAATGTTACATGTTTGGTTAAATTCTTAGTATTGTACTGATGTGTGTAGTCTTACTTGTTACTAATATTATAAATGCGAATGTTTAGATGGATGGATGTTTGTTTAAAGCAGTGGTTCCCAAACTTATTTTGTATACTGCCCACTTTGAGAATGAATATTTTTTTAGCGCCCCCATATTTTCATATATTTAAAAACCACTATAACTTCAAATTAAATTAATTAAATATTGTGACCTATATATGTAAATTAACGGAGAATTCTTAACGAAACTTTTACTATAACCTGCAACGCCCACAAGGGGGCGTTATCGCCCACTTGGTATCTCTGGAATGGCTTAACAGATCTTGATGAAACTTGGCACAGATGTAGAACATAGCCTGGTTGTACACATACATATTATTAGTTTTTTTAATTGCGCGCGGACGGAATCACGGTCGCCAGCTAGTTATCTATAAAATCCGTAGCAGTTTCTCACACGCAACTACAAATATTATTGTCAAATATTCGTCTTTCGAAGCGTCCGTTTGTTATGAGATGAATTATGTTGATTGAACGCTACGCGTTTTGTTAAACCATTTCGGAATATTAGTCGAAAATATTTTCATATTAAGATCAAATTTTATAGATGGTTCTCATGATATTGATACTTTTTTGCTTACTCCATATTCTTAATCTATTTCTTCCAAATTTAAAAAGATCGAAGCATCTTAATAATGGGCCTTATTTATAGTTTAGAACTTTAGAGAGCGGTAGATAAATTTTAGTTCAATATGATCTAAACATTTGGATCAATTTAAGTATCAATTTTTATTGAACCGTATACTTTGATGTACCAAAAGGCGAGTGTTGAAGTATTAATAGGAAAATCTGTAATCTATACCTAGCTAGCTTTGTTAAATGGTTTTAATTAGGAATTTATCAATGTAATTTTCTTTCAGAGTGCTCCCGGAGAGCAGCCCTCCCCGCCCGCTTCACCCACGCTGCCCAGTGACGTAGTAACATGGCGCAGGTCGGAGCCAACATGGAGTACCAGGAGTACAAGTGGGCCTACTCAATCATGGACTCGTCAAAGTAATTTTTTTTAAAATAAACAAAGGCTTACTTTATTTGATGCTAAATGATATATACGAAATCTTTCAAAAAAGTTCTGTTTTATGAAGGGAGAGATTGGAAAAGTATATAATATTTGTATATAAGCAATTATTACAAATGGTCAACATTGGATGGATGGGAATGAAAGGGGATTTTATAGAAAAGGGGGCGCATACGAAGGAGAAATATTTTGTTTCTGTACTCTGTCGTTTAAGATGGAAACGCGTTCGCAATTGTGGATGTCTATGGGTAGAGATTCCCCATTTCGATGAGTTAGGGTGGCCACTAGCTCGTTTGCCACCTTATAATATTAAAAACAAAAAAAAATTGTAACTAATTCAGAAATTAGACTTTTTTCGTAATATCGTGTAGACATCGAATTTTTATGTCACGATGTTTAGAGTTTTTACATTTAATGTACCAAGCCAACGGAATTCTAAATCACGTTTTATGAATAATTTCTATATTATGCTACATTAAAAAAATGTAGGACATTGCTTTCTATGATGTAAGCTAGTGTTTTGTTTTATCACAACAATACATAACAATCAAAAGTATTTTAACCTAAATTATTATGTTATGAGTAAATACTAGTGAAATTGTGCGAAAACTAAAATTTATAACGTAAAAAATACAATGCCGCACTCAGATATGTTATTTAAGAAATCTATACTTAGTAATCGTTTAAGCAATCATTAAACCTCTTTAAGTTATATATCTTGTATACATACGTTATATTATAAGGCTCGAAATTATTTTTAGAAGATATTTTGAGTTCTCAATGTAAATAAGATCAGTCTTAACGCGGAGTACTGAATATAAAACAGCGAATACAGTTGGAGAAACACTTTCACAATAAACGAAACTTAGTGCAGTTCTTGAATGCGAATTAACTTTTGTAACAAACTTCGAAATGAGAAGCATTATTTATGTATTAGCAGTCGCCCGAGAATCCCTCCGCGTTCTGTTAAAAACTTTATAAGTAGCTTATGAGTTCTTCCAGACTACGTTCTACATATATGCTGAATTTCATCGAGATCCGTTTACCCGTTCTGGAGATACCTTCTAACATTCATTTAAACAGTCGTGTTTATAATATTAGTGAGTTTGGAGGATTGCAGCTAAACATCGGGGCTTCAGCTATAAGTTTATAAAGCGCCCGATAAACGATAAAATATCGTATCAAATTTATGTGTTTATTCAGTGTGACAAATATAAACTAATTTAATTTATACATATAAATAAAATGACGGAAAAGGTTTCATTGGAAGGGGAAATATTGTCTTTCTGTGCGTCAACTGCAATTGCGGATGTCTATGGGTGACATTCGTTTCGCCATTTCCGCGAATTCAGGTGACACCTTGCTCATTGCCATCTTAAATTATAATAAAACAATGCTCGGGTATATCGGGTAATCCTATAAAGATACCTTTTATTCATTTCAATGTACGGAACCATAAAAATTAAAATTACCTTATTCTACGGACAAAGTAGCAGTTAGTTACATATACATATTAAAGAGTTTTATTTAAATGACAGTTATAACAGTTAAAATAACGACTGTACTACTTTCAATTAGTATAAATTATAATATTTAGATTTGATAATTGCCTATGTCCCACGCTATTTCCTTTCAGAGGCTCAATGATCTTGTAATCTTTGTTTATTGTGTTACTTTCTTTTGATTGAGGCTTCAGTCTATATTGTAAGTGTTCTCACACATCAAAGAGTATGTTTATTAAATACTCTTGTCTATGGTCACGCTTTGTTCATGCTATTCTCTATTGTTAAGTAAAGTTTGGAGTATTCCCTTTTTGTTTCTAATGAACTGTTACCTCATATATTGGTATACATAAGAAGATAGTTTTGGTGTTAGTTATCCTTATTAAAGAGAATATGATCCAGTTATTTGTTCCAAGAATGTTAGCTTAACCGTGAGTTTCTGAGTCCAAAATTCACTTTTAACACATTGTTATCTCTGTGTTGTCAAAGATAGAAATGGCGATATGTTTTAAAGGCAGATTTTGGAATCAGAAACCCAAGGTAAGTTGATATAAACGTAGAACTCGTAACGGTAAAATATATTTAAAAAAATGCAATAAAAAAGTCTTGACAATCTATTTGTAATGAACCGTCCTACAAAATTTCAAACAATTTCATTCTTGTATCTGAAAAAATATAAACCAAAATTCGAAGTATGTACTTCTCTATTTTCGTATTCGATGTATTATGTAAAATCGATATTTGCATTTGTAACGAGTAAAGCATCGTCTGTCAATTGTTAGTACAAAGTGGCTTACACCGGCAGTTAGACAACGTTCCTAATTGGAGAGGGCTGGATGTGCCATTACGTTTCATTAGACCTTACGATCTACAGCACGAGTGGGCTATGCTACTCTAATTAGGCCAGGGATGATTCGTATCGTTGTTGTCATATTTAGAGGCAATTCTTGTAATTCAGTAGTACGAAATCAGATAAATATGCTTACGTGAAAAAGTACCTAAGAATCAGGTTAGGTTTTTGGACAATAAGCATTTCTATAAGTTTTTACTAGAAAGAAAGTTAACATTTATTTAAATATAAGATTTGTATTTTTATTTAAATCATGCACAGGATATGAGCCGTTATTGACATCGAAATCTTGCCGTGTAAAACAGTACGTGGGAAATTATAAAAAAAACTAAACCTCGATTTCCTATAACTGTATCTGTGAAATTTATTGCAATTACGAAATAGTCGATAATTTATTTGATTATAAAGAAAACATCAAAAGCGATTTAACTCGATGTTATCAAACCGTATTTCTCATAAGAAAGAACAATATGTTTTTGTATGTTGTATACAGACGAAACTTACGGATAAAATTCATAGTATTCGCGTCAATCTATATGGTTGCTTAAGGCTCAAGGCAAGCTCAGCTGCACTGTTACCTCCCCCCGCATTCTTTTATGTCCCGCCACACCTAAAATTGTATTCTGCACGGGGACTGATGAGATGTTCCGAGCTGCCAAGATGGATTCCTTTATAGTGTAATTTATTGCAATTGAACAAGACTATTAGAAGTTTGGGGTGACGTTTTAACAATGTGTGTTTGTGTAGGGTGTCAGCATGCCTCATCTCAATGCTACTGATAGTGTACGGCAGCTTCCGGTCCTTGAATATGGAGAGGGAGGCGCGCGAGCGGGCGGAGAGGGAGCGAGAGGCGACGCTGCTCGGTGGCAAGCCTGTGCCCTCCTGCTCACACAGCAGCAGTAAGTATACTCCTGGTTTACAACGAAAACCGATAGCCTTCACTAGTCAGTGATTCAACTAAAATTAAAGACGATCTGCAATGAAGCGACATGCAGCTTAGCTCAGTTCATATTTGCATAGAGTTTTGATTTACGTTTTTAGCTGCTATTTGATGAGACGTAGATCAACAGTTCAAATCTATATGAGCTGAACTTTTGAACCGAATCAGAGCTTTGTAAACACTTAACACGTAGAGTCTTTATAAAACATATCGTCATTCCTGTCATTATTTTTCACACAACATAGATGGTCTCATAAACCCAAGGCTAACCGATACCGTACTAAGCAGTTTTTTTGTAGTTACAAATACTTTGGCTCCTGTACTATAAGATTTAGAATTTTAATAGTATGTGTTACTGGTTTCGTTCCAGACGTGCAGACGTTGAACACGATGCAGGCGCTGTGCTTCCCGCTCGGCTCCTCTGTGGCACTGCTCATCATGTTCTTCTTCTTTGACTCCATGCAGACCCTCGTCGCCATATGCACTGCCAGTATGTCAATCATATTGTCTTTACATATACATTCAAGTGTCGAAATTTTTTATTTATATAGTACAAAACGGCAAACGCAGATTTAGCTAAAATAACGAAGTGAATGTTTCCCATAGACATCTGTACATATATAAATAAGTCAAAAATTGGCAAATGTGGACATTACTTTATATGGCCAGGTGGAGGTGACTTCCAGGGCATTGGACAGTACGCCGCGTCATAGGGTTTCGAACAGTCACGTATCGCTATCAAAACTACCTCCCCCCATCATGAAAAAATTGAGGGTGCCGTAAAAAATGTCTCTTCGGCGCTGGTAGCGTTAAAGCCTTCGCTATTTTGGCAAATTCAGTTGGCCAATTGTTCATTTGCCACGTTATAATATATATAAAAAAATATTGAAGATAATAATTGTGTTGCAGTAATAGCGTGCGCGGCGCTGGCGTTCCTGCTGACGCCGCTGTGCCAGTACGTGGCGGGGGGCGCGGGTGTGGGGGGCGGGGCGCGCGCATGCGGCAAGTACTCCGCCCCGGAGCTCGCCGCCGCACTCCTCGCAGCCGCCATCGTCGCTGTGTGGGTCCTCACTGGACACTGGCTGCTTATGGATGGTGAATACAGCATTGAACAAACTTACGGCCATTGATAAAAAAAAATATTTTTATATATATATTTATTAATGGCCAGGAATAAAATGTTTTTTTTTTATTAAAATAATGCAGGTATGGTTACAACAAAATGAATGTCTCTTTGGTTAGAACGTTAAAACCGTCTCTCCATCTCACCCATGATTTTTATTTGATTTTTAATTGTATTCAATTTTCAATATGTTTGTGCGTTACAAACTTTAAAATACTATAATTTTAACCTAGAGATTAGGTAAAGAGACGCCAAGATATTTGAAAAATACAATAATTTTTACGATAATATTTCAGCAATGGGCATGGGCCTATGCGTGACCTTCATCGCGCTGATCCGACTGCCCTCGCTGAAAGTGTCCACGCTGCTGCTGACCGGCCTCCTGCTCTACGACGTCTTCTGGGTCTTCTTCTCCTCCTACATCTTCACTACCAATGTTATGGTCAAAGTGGCCACCAGGTATGACACCAACATCTGACAAACTCAAGTGAAATACTTTATTAAAATTATATTTTTTCGGTAATCACACAGTTACCGTTACCGTTTTTGAGCATAAATCAAATACACAGACTAAAAATCATAGACAATATATTAAATGTAGATTTTTTTTACATTTTTATAGTAGTGATATAAAAAAGTAGTGTCGGTATGTTCAGATTTATGCATTGATATATAGTAATATGATACAGAGGAAGATTTGATTTTATGTTTGTATGTCTTCATTGAATAAACTCTGAAATTACTGAACCGAATTAGAAAATTATTAATTAATAGGCTATATTTATTATTTGATTTTTTTCTGCCCAGGTGATGTCACGGGTAACTGCTAGTTTGGAATAATATATTTTGTAGGGTATAGTTTTTAAATGCATTTATATTTTCTTTAGGCCGGCGGAGAATCCAATGAACGTAGTGGCACGCAGATTGCAGTTAGGAGGCGCGATGCGGGATGCACCCAAGCTGTCACTGCCCGCCAAGCTCGTCTTCCCCTCGATGCACCACCAGGGACACTTCTCTATGCTGGGTAACCTTGATCATATAGAATAGAGTCCCCAGCAACGTATACAATACAACGAACACACAAAAGACAGGTATCAAGTGGAAATTACTCAGATTTTTGTTAGATGAGTTTGTGTTCAAGGTCATCCCCACCCCCTGTCCATTATAGCAGACGTTTTAGAATCTCTTGATAACATTTGGCAACAATCAAATTATATAATAATTACAATAGGTCTGGGTGACATCGTGATGCCTGGTCTGTTGCTGTGCTTCGTGCTGCGCTACGACGCCTACAAGAAGGCCACTCTTGTCTGCCAGATGGGGCAGGTGCCCGGACCTAGGTCTATGGTATGTCAAATACTTTAAATTCGCATGTTGAAAGAAAACATGAAGATGTACTATGAACTAGTGGACAGCTCTGTGATTTACTGTTAATTATATTGTTAATTAAGAATCTTGGCAGTTTTTTTATGTAATGACTGGGTCTACAAATATTTTAGGGTTATCAGGAAACAAAAATTTCCCAATTACTTTCGAAATTCGCTGATATTAAATACTCAGCTACGTAACCTTCACGATAAATCACCACATGTGATATTTTTCCTGGAATTTGGAAAAATATAAACATGGCAACATTATACCGTGCAGCTGCCACACTCTTATTGGTGAAAATATTACTCTGTCAAGAATGAGACGTTGTTCGGGAATTTTTCCAAAGGCTTAAGATTCTTGTCGAACTATAAATTTAATATTTAACCATTGTCAGTTGTATACCTTCCGTATTTATATTCTTCCGTAGTTAATGTTCCTTCGTTGTCATTTCAGGGTTCCCGTCTAACGTACTTCCACTGTTCTCTGCTGGGCTACTTCCTGGGTCTGCTGACGGCGACTGTGTCCGCGGAGGTGTTCAAGGCAGCTCAGCCCGCGTTGCTCTACCTGGTGCCCTTCACGCTGCTGCCACTTCTCACCATGGCATACGTCAAGGTAATGTACAGTGACAGTTTGTAAACTGACGAATCATAAAATAAATTTATAAAGATTCGTTTGTACACAATTTAACATTATCGAGTGGTTTGTGAAATTGTCAATAAAACTCTGATTGTAAAGAGTTTGATTATATCGTCTGATTGTATCGAGTGGTTTGAGAAATTGTCAATAAAACTATGCTTTTTAGTGTTTCATTAGTAGAAACTCAAGTAATTTAATTATGGCTGACCAAGAATATAAAAATCTCGACTAATTGCTCAAAAATGCTAATTTCTTTACATACCTTAGTAACCGTGAGTTTCTGAGATAAAAATTCCTGTTGATGAATGGACGAAAGACGGATGAGGATATGTTTTATACAGAGATTTTGGTCACAGAAACCCACAGTAAGTGATATAACAAAAAAGATGATAAGGAGCTCCTAACTCAGGTTTTTTCATATTCTTGTTTGGCCTGTACACTGCATTATAAATTATTTTTATAGTATTTTTTTTGTATAAAATATTAGCAGATTTTTTTGTAAATTTACTAATATTTCTTTAACCATTCCAACTAAGCTTTAGGCTTGTGCTAGGATATGGTTTACGACAATAGTCGAATGGGGGGATTCGAACCCCCGACTTCGTGATCGGAAACCCGTACTCTTAAACCATTAGGCTATTGACGCTTAATTATTGTGTTTTATTGTTAAACGATGATTTTTTTTATATCCAGGGTGATCTAAGGCGAATGTGGAGTGAGCCGTTCATCGCACCTAATGGAAAATCCGGCGCTGACTTTGACGTGTGAAGAAACAGAAATTAACAAATGTTATATCCCCCCCAGTAGTTGGCAAATAAACCAACGTACAAACGTCAGCTTCCGAAATATAAGTATGCTTCATTTATAGTCTACATTATATTACTATGACAGTGTTGCCAGTTTATTCCTTTGTGGTTAGATGTTTAATAGCAATAGACAATTCTAATCTGTCAGTTGTACAGCTTAGCTATGGAAATTAAAATTAAAAAACAGAAACTTTAGAAGTGAAATCTTTGATATTGTCTATTGTAGTGTGATAATTTTATGCGTTAAAATGTCGAAAACTGTTTGTTCATGGTTTTGAAGGAAATATATCTAAATTATCAAAGAGTAAGTATTGAAATCAATTTAGTGATTGTTATATTCTCTCACTGGTTTACGGATAATATTTAAGCAGTTATGATTAAAATAAATGTCAAATTAAAACAAGAAAAATATAGAGAAATCTTTACATTATCTACAATGATATAGTGACATCTGTCAGACGTCAATGACATCTGTCAGAAGTCAGTGTTACCATTATCTGGCATAGTAATTATTTGTTACACTATGAATTGTTATACTTATACTTTTAAAAGATTTTGATGTTTCTTTTTGTATTCATAAATAGGAAGTTGTTTGTATGAAAATATGTTAATAGTTACATCGTATTATAATTATCACAATTGGCTTATAAAATGATTGTTATTCATTAAGTTTTAATGTATATGGCTTTGATCACATTATATATTATATTAAGGTATATAATGTAAAGTTTGTAGATGTCGAATATAATTACATATATTTACTTTCCGTTGTGATGGAGTTGAACAAAGTTGAAATATGAGCACAAGAACTATGATATATTTAGTCTTTTCTAAATTTATTTAACAATAATATACAAGTCGAACTTTGACAAGAGAACTGGATAAGTTTACTGGATAAGTCATTGTCCAGTTCGGAAGGATGACTACCATAAGCGGGAAACTTGGGTTAGAGGGAAACCTCTATAAGTAAGATAATTATTGTGGTCCCCTGGAGTCTTACTTATCCAGGTTGTATTTAAAATTATTTTAGTTATGGCAATAGAATTTTTTTTTTGTGTTCTTGTAATTTTTTTTCTTATACTAATTTGGTAAATATTTTAGTATTTAAACACTTGTATTTTAAACATTGATTTTTGTGCTCTAGTTTCAATATTATTTGTAATTTTAAGCCACAGAGTTATTTAATCAGACTTAAGTCTTGTAGATTTGTCATAGTAAATCTACCGTTAGGAACTTTCTTAGCGCTCATTGAAATTTGCTCTTACAGATTCTTAATATGTATTAAAAATTGTTAATTTTTCATTCGATATGGATTTAAAATAGTTATGAGAACATAAGATGTTTAGATTAAGAAATGCGCTTTGTTTTTTTTTTAAGGTTTGTTGTAAGAAGAAAAGTTACACAGGGTGACTTTAAAAGAGATTTTAAATGTATAGTTCTAACCTTTTGCACTTTATTTTAACCTTTTTGAACTACCGCCTTGTTTATTCGAATACTCATTAATGTTGCTTCTCTTTTATTTTAGACTACTATTAATACATTGTTGTCGCTATTTTATCAAAGAGAGTGAAAGGAATAGCTGTATGTGATAACTTCAATATGGCGTGAATTTAGTATGCCTTAGTGACTACTGGTGTTTCCCGTTGGACTCATCGGCTAACCGATTCATATGACGATCGGTCCAACGGGAAAAAACCGTAAACATTTCACTTACTGTGACAGTAAATTCTTACCGATTAATTTTTTATTGAAATCATAATATATTTTTTTATTATTTTTGATGATTTTGTAATAATTATAAATAACAAAGTACAATTTCATAGTTTTTTGTTCCGCTGTGAGGTTTTATGAGAATTAATAAAATCTTATGCTCGAGTCATGTCCTAAAAATCTTAAGTTTTATGAATAAAAAAAAACTTCTTGAGATGTCACCGATTAGCAGAGGGTTAATGATCAGTACCCATCTTTCTGTAAAAAAAATTATAAATTTCACTATATTTCTTTATTAAAATGTACAATACCCGTATATGACAAAGACAATTTTATTTTTTTAGGTTTAAACATAAATACAATGTTTTTTTTTATATATATAAGAGAAGCAACATTATAAAATTAAGGTATCAAACTGTATGTTTAAAAAGGTAGAACAAATATTATCTTCCAGCTAAATAAATCCAGTGTTCAAAATAAAAACATTGAAAAAGACGTCAGTGCCAAATGAAAAAAAAGCTTGTCAAATGATTCACAAAATTGTAAACATATTTTTTATTAACAATTTATTCGAAATGTTTTCATCAAAATAATTAATGTTTTTTTTAGAATCTCAAGTTTTGGAAAATTTCTGTATGCATAGACACCTTTCTTGTTACTAAAATGAGTTTTGATCAGTCAAAAAAAAATAGCTTCCCATTTAGAATCGATTAATTAGCATTGTGTGTAGGACAAGTTTTCGATTTAATTGCATTGTGAGCCTTAAAATTGAAGTGGGTAGGGAATAAATGTCCTCGACGGTAATGTAAATAAAAATACTCCTTAAATTTTCTTCAACAAACGCCTATAGATATATTTCCGTGTAATTAATTCTAATTTTTTTTGCCACATTGTATCATGCTCAAAGATGAATTATCCCAACCATTTTTTGTTACAAAATTATTACAAACTCTCTCCTATTTATCTCGAATTTTACTTTGTAGGTATTTTCTATATTATTTTTTTACTTAACGAACAACATTTTTTAATCATTTTTTTTATGATCAACTATGTTATCACTGCCTTCGACTGATCTTTTCAATGAATTCGTTTCTATTTGTTGAAAAAAAAAAGTATTATAGACAAAATATTAGTTTTAATATGATAGACAAAACTGTTGTTAACATCGACAGACAACTTTATTTGTTTTGTAATGTAAATTATTTGATTGAATTTAATGAAAGTTATGTTAGATTTAAGTAAATTAAAAATATTTGATATATGTGTGATTTTTGAGGTTAACACTAACATTTTTTTTATATTAATTTTCGATTTTTTTTTTACAATGTACGTAACTATTAATTTTTAAGTTAATTGTAAAAATACTATTTACATTGAGCAGTATTTCCTTGTAGAAAAGTGATATTAATTGAGGCTTGTATACATAAATGTATAAGCAAAGTTTGCTTGTGCGTTTATGTATATAACATTTGATATTCGGAAAATATTGTGGATCTCCTTGTAGCATCTCTGAATGAACTGTTAAATAAATTCAGAATCCTTAATAATGATTAATTGGTGTAAATTTAAGTGTATTTTTTGGATAACTTATAGTATAAAGATTGTAAACGGTTTTCCACTTGTACATACGTGAATTTCATTAAAATTCAATGTTATAATGAATTATATCACTTACATCCCCTCACAATCTCTGTGTGTAAATATTTCCCACGCATGATATTCTAATTAACAGTAAAAATGGTAAGCATTTAATATTTTTATATGTATATGCGGTTGTATGAAGATACTTAATAAAAATATTAAATGATTTCTTGACTTTTATTTGTTAAACAATGAGAACCTCAATCATTCACTCCAGTGAACTGTCCACAGTGTCTATGGTTTCATGCGATAAATACTGTTAAATAGTAGGAGTTGGGATTTGAAACATGTAACTTTGAATGCCAGAATTAGATTTTCACTTCCATTTGTCTGAGTAAATGTGTATGTGGCTGGTGGGCCAATACTGACCAAAGTTACAGGATGAAAAGTAAAATATTACATGGTGAGCACTCAGTATGTGGGGAAACATGCTAGTGATGAGCCGTTCAATTGGAATGTAACACCTCATAATCTGAATAAGTGCCCAGTCTAAGAGACAAATATGCACATTGTAACAAAACTTTAAAATACACATTTCATGAACATTTAAGTTGAATAATTGAGATAAAATAGATTATTATCCCCCGCAATTCATTAGAGATTGAATTTGAACGTAAAAATTTAATTGTAAGGATGACGTGATTGTGATAAATAGTATTCTTGAAATAACAGGTAAATATGTTAATAGATTAGGTTTTAAAATAAAAATACATTCTTTCATGTTATACTTTATTTGCTTGTTTCTATAGCTTTATTTGTATCTCTCTTCTGAATAAATCTTAATTGTTTCTTCTTCATTCTTTTTAGTTTAGCAGTGTTAGTTATTACTTGTACAATTTCAGACTTCTGTTTGTTTTCTGCTGTCCTTTTAATATTTTCTCGTCGCCTTTCTTTACGTTCTAGTTCCTTCTCTTTAAATTGTTCTAAAAGACTTTTAGACAATTCTTTTGTGCGTTTCAATTCCATACGTAAAGCAGTCTTCTTCTGGAAATCTAGCTTTAATCCTTTTGTTTTATTTATTGTAGAAAACCTAAAAAAGAGAATTATTAACAATGAAATTAGAACGAAACAAAAAAACAATAACTTGGATATTACAATAATTACTTTTCTTTCTGAGATTTCCAAAATCGACCAGATTTAGGTTTTCCCCTTATTTCATCTTTATTTTCTTGCTTTTTAGGTTGTTTTTTAACAACAGATTTTTCACTAGATTCATCGTCCTGATTTTTCTTTATATTCTCTATTAAAGAATTAACTTTAATGTCTGTTTCTGAAGACATTTTTACTCCTATTAATTACTAATCGAATTTTAGAATATACACGTGTTTTTGTTTTCTTGTATTACTACAATCCATAGACACCAAATGTTGACAGTTAACTTGACATTTCGCATAGACAAAAGTAATGTTTTTCATGGTATTTCATCAATGACCGTTCAGCCACGACACTCAACGGAAATAGAAAACATGCCAATGTCAGTTAAAATTAAAATTGTCAAGTTGCTGTCAACCTGTGAATATTTTACTGTCAAACACAAATTATAATTTTTAAGGATAAATATGAATGCTGTAATTTAGTGATTCAGACGTTCGTGACAAGTTTAATAACTTTAACCAGATAATAATCACTTTAGTTGTTTCATAATTTAGTTACTGTCAACTGTAATTAGTGAAAGTGTAATATTTACCACACCCATAGGTTTCGTGTTTTAAAACTCTTATCTGAAAAAGGATTCATAATTTCAATATGCCGGTGAGTCAGTGTATAGCGCTTGTTTATGTTTCAGAATTGTAACATATTTGTTTAAATCAAATTGAATATTCCAGGCGTATCATTCGACATTAACAGATTACACACAATCAGTTGGTAACTTGGCTCTACTACCTTTACGGACTACTTATAGAGGCCCAGCGCCCACCAACCCTAAACAAGAATTGGATGTTATCGACGAAGCACTTAACTATTTTAAGGCCAATGTATTCTTTAGATTTTATGAGATAAAGGTAAAAAAATTATTAAATAAAGAATTAAAAGTACCTACAGCTTAATAAAATTGCTATAATGACTTCCAAAGTAAATTTAAATTTTATATTTCAGTCTGATGCAGACAGAGTTCTCATATACTTAACTCTGTACATCTCAGAATGTCTAAAGAAATTGCAAAAGTGCTCTAATAAGAATCAGGGCCAGCAGGAAATGTATATGCTCGCTATATCTAAATTTGACATCCCTGGAGAGGCCGGATTTCCCCTCAACTCAGTTTATGCTAAACCTACCAGTACTCAAGAAGCAGGTCAGTAATTTAATACATTCAATGTCACTAGCTGTTTTGGTAGTTCATGTTCAAACTGAAATAAATATAGTGACAGTTCAAAATATGTTTTAAGTATAGATTGAAGAAAATACTTTTTGATTCTCTTAATTTAATGATGCATATTAACTGTTCTTTGAAAGCTGCATAGACATTTTGAGAAACAAAAATTTAAATTTATTACAAAAATTTGTTAATTTTTAGATTTGATGAGACAATATTTGCAGCAATTGAGACATGAAACTGGTAACAGGGTCTGTGAGAAGGTAAGTTTGTTGTTTTTACCTTGATTTAGTTTTTATTTGGGATTATTTTTAGCCAGTAACGATAGTAAGCCAATATGTGGTAGTTCTATACATTGTCAACTTTTTCAAGCATGCAACCTCTCTTCTTGACGATGTTACATAGGTTGTTTCTCCTATTCAAGCGCATCTCAGTGATGGGGATAGCATTATGCATTGTGATTAACCTAACTTGATATTTGAAATTTTTATTTTTCAGGTGTTTGCAACAGAAGATGGCAAACCAAGCAAGTGGTGGCTCTGTTTTGCTAAAAGGAAATTCATGGATAAATCTTTGTCAGGGCCGGGCCAGTAAAACAATAGCTTATAATGATGTACTTTCTTTATTATATTTTATTATACAATTGACATTATTTGTATCATGTATTTCACTATCATCAGTCACTTAAATCCAAAACTGTGTATAAGAGTTATCAAAAGTAAGTTTTTATTTAAAAAAGAAATATCAATATGTGAAATAAAATCTTCAAAAATTTTTTTGTTTTATTATTTTTAACATTATAAAAACTATACCTTTATGCTAAAAAAGAGATTTACTAGAGTATTATATAAAAAACAGTAGAAATGGCCATTTTCTTAAATTTTAATTTATACAGTATAATATCTCTGAAAACTTTCACTTATATGCTACTTATGTATATATAAAATATTTGTTTTGTTAGATTTATATCTTCGGGCAGTTTATTTGAAAAAGAAAAATTCTTGCTCATATTAAACTCCATACTCTTTCAAAATTTGTCCAGCTATAACAAGTCTTTGAATCTCTGAAGTGCCTTCGTATATTTCGGTTATTCTTGCATCTCGGTAGTGTCTTTCTGCTGGCATGTCGGACACATAACCCATACCTCCAAGAATCTAAAGATAGAATTAGAGAAATATTGTTATTTACACCAAAATAAATTAAAAAACAATTTATTGTGTACTTTAGCTTGCTTTCAAGTTTATGTATTGCAGTGTATTTTTTTATTCCGCGCGAAACGGATTCGCAAACCACAGCTAGTGATTTATAAAACTAGGGATATAGGATATACCCTACAATTACCTGAATACATTGATGTGATAGATATGTTGCAGCCTCTGAAGCTGCCAACTTAGCCATGGCAGCCTCTTTAGTAAATGGTTGCTTGTTATCTTTAAGCCAAGCCGCACGCCACGTAAGCAATCTGGCAGATTCTAATTGTAACGCCATGTTCGCTAGTTTAGTTTGAATTGCTTGTAACTTTGATATAGGTTTACCGAATGCTATTCTCTTTGACGCATACTCTACCGCTACATCTAATGATGCCTGGAGAAAATAATATTTATTAAAACAACCAAAATACTTATTTATAAACATACTTTTATCACACTCTTTAACAGACAGAGGGAAAGATAGTGAAAGATGACAATTTAGTTTTTAAAGCTACCATGAAAAATATAAGCTAGAAATCCAATGTTTCTTTTACCTGAGCAATACCCAATGCTTGAGCTGCAATACCAATCCTTCCAGAGTCTAATGTCATCATTGCAATTTTAAAACCAAATCCTGGCTCCCCTAAAATACTATCTTTAGGCACCTCACAATCTTCAAATATTAGAGAACATGTTGAAGACCCCCTAATACCTAACTTGTCTTCCTTCTTGCCTAATTCTAAGCCTTTTATTGGTTTAGGCAAAATGAATGCTGAAATTCCTTTATGTTTTAAACTCTTATCTGTAGTAGCAAATACAACAGATGCTTTACTTTCATATCCATTTGTAATCCAACATTTCGTCCCATTTAAAATCCACTTATCTCCCATATCTTTAGCTACAGTTGAAGCTGCCCCAGCATCTGATCCATTTCCTGGTTCTGACAGTGCAAAACATCCCACACTGTCTCCTAGAGAAATAATGAAATCATCATAAAATTTACCATAAATTGCATTATGTTTAATTAGGTAATGAGACTTTGTACTGAAGATTAGACACAAGTATATGAATTATAAATAAAATATCTTATGTGAATGTTTCAACAGTGCAAATTCTAAGTTTGATACAAAAATTACAAACAAACCCATACAAAATGGTGTCCCAAACTCCTGTTTTTGTTTATCCGTTCCCCAGTGTACAACCGGTCCAAGATATAATGAATTGTTCACAGACATGATGACTCCAGCTGATGCACAACCACGTGATATTTCTTCCAATGCTATAGCATATGCTAGATAATCTAAACCAGCACCACCTAATTCTTCCGGAGTTGCGATAGCCATAAGACCGAGATCACCCATTTTTTTTATAGCCTCTCCGGGATATTCATGGTTTTTATCATATTTAGCTGCTTGTGGCTTAAGTTCAGCTTCAGCGAAGTCACGGCATGTTTTGTACAACATTTGATATGTATCAGGTAATGCTGATAGAGATGCAATACATCTCGACTGTTTGACAGAAGTTGATACTGAAATTATTAATAATTAATAATTATGAATAAAATTGTGTTATTATACAAAAAATGAGTACTAAAATGCGACAAATTTTATTTAGTATAATTGTCTCTAGTCTAAAATTTATAAAGCTATGGTTTATTCAAATTTTTTTATCAATAAACTTTTGTATTTAGGAAATTATTAACTATATGAATAAATTATCACATTTTTTGTATAATGTTAAAGGTTCTTTAAACTTAAAGACTAACCAAAAAGATGCACAGTTCTTGAGAAAATATTCAACATTTTATTTTAATAATAAAAATTGATAAATATGGTACTTTGAACTTTGTAATTTTATCCAGTTTTTTTGCGGACGGATGTCATAGACAGTCATAGATGTCAAGTGGCGGATGTCATGATTTGTATTTAATTACTTACAGAGTATAAATAATCTTTATTTTGATCTAACTTAGCCTCACTGATTTTAATTAAAGAGCCGAATGTATGATTATTATTAGCGATAAGCACATGAACTGGTTTTCTGTAATTTCAACAAAGCAAAAGTTGAAAGTTTTTTTTCACAGTGGATCCATATGTAAAAGGCTTTGGACTTTTCCTGTGAATTTATCAAAATACGAACACATTTGACACTGACAACATCTGTCAGTGTCAAATAAAAAAGAAAAATATATTGTTAGTGTAAACGAAAAACAACAAATTAAAATGATAAAATGGAGATATTGACACGAATAGTACCTATAAATCTATTTAGATTAACTACATCTAGGCTTATATTAACAAATGTAGCACATTATACAAGGTAGGTAATGAATTATTCATATAAATTGTTATTTTTTACGCTTATAACCTAACATTTTATAAAATCTTCAGGTTGGCAGAAGTTGGGAAGTTGGAGTCGCCAAAGACAACAGGAAAATATGATACGGGTCAACTTATTTTGCATAAAGTCTTCGGATACAGAGGCGTTATATTATTTCCTTGGTTAGCTAGAGTTTATGACAGAGATGCATCTAATAAGAAAGAATACGCAGAAACCTCCAACCCTTCGGAAACGGGAGATACTCTATCGAACGTTGGCAAGGAAGTCAAAGGGAGAACACATACATTTTATCAAGTCCTCATAGACACCAGGGATGCTCCTTACATAGTAAGTATATATCAAATGTAAAAGTAACTAACATGCTTGTTACCATTTATGTCAATGCTAACAACTTTTGTCATATCATTAATTAATTCATAAAACAATTGAAGTCCAATACACACTGTGTGTTTTTCACTACATTATTGCATAAGTAAAATGATAGATAGATCTCATATATATTTTATCCTAATTAGGGTAGATAGAATTAGTTTTTACTCATAATTAGATTATTAATTAACATTTTTATTCTATGTGCCAGTAATATTTTCATTATTTCAAACCAAGCTACAAACTATTTCTTTCTCTTTGTCCATTGAACCATCTTGCATTTAGCATATCATAAATTATACTTAACATATTACTGAGGGTTTTAGTACATAATTAGTAAAGTTAATATCACATAAAAAGCATATATCATAGCTTTACATAACTAACTTAGCAGATTTTATTTTCCTTAACAGTTATTTAAAATTGAGTTCTATTTTAATAAGCAATGATACTAAATTTAAATGATTTATTGTTGACTGTGCAAACCAACATCGATATGAGACCAGAATGGAAGAAAAAGGTATCAAAATATATATTATTTATTAAAAAATGTTACTAATTAACTATGGGTGTTTGTATTAATGCTTTATGTAAAAAAGTCATTGGCATTCTAGCTTGCGTAATATGATATAGTCATTTATTTAAAACTAATCAGAAAAGTCATTCCACTATAAATAAGGACCCATTAGGGACATATATATTACAAATTATCCATTTACATCATCATTGGCTCACTAAATGTCGCCACAGAGGGGCTCGGAGCCTACACTAAGATAGGGATGACTAGGTAATAGTCAACTACACTGGTCAAGTGCGGGTTGTTTGACTTCACACATATCTTTGAATTTCTTCTCAGATATGTGCAGGTTGTATCACGATGTTTTCCTTCACAGAAAGAACGTCGTATAAATGTACATATGAAAATCGAAAAACACATTGGTATGTGGCGGGATTCAAACCCAGGACCTGCAGATTGCAATTCAAGTGCTTGACTCCTGAGCCACCGATGCTCCTAATTTACATATGTATATTTATCCGAAATTTTTATCATATAGAGAAACATTGTGATGCGACCTGCACTTACTAATATTATAAATGTGAATGTTATAATGGATGGATGGATGGATGTTTGTTAGATGGTATTTTCAGAAGGGCTGCATGGATCTCGCTGAATAATGGCATAGATGTAGAACATAGTCTGGAAGAACACATAGACTATAAATTAAGTTTTTTTTTAATACAACGCGATCGGAGACGCGGTTTTCCGTTAGTAATAACATAGAATATGTTTTTTAAAAATTTATTTTTCTTTTTAAAGTGATTTGTTATTCTTTCTATTATAAGCCAGCTATTTAATTACTTTTATCAAATAATAAAAACTTCATTCATATCATTAATTTGATTAATTACAAAGATCATTAAATAAATTGTTTTAATCACTGTAACTGTTGTAATAATTAATAACCAATTAGTAATTATTAACTTTTTTTTCACTGTAATATTCATATGCCATTTGCATGGAGATGTAAGAATAATAAATAAATGAATAATAGGAATTGTTCTAATGTAATGGGTGTTTGTTAGAAGGCATCTCCGGAAGAGCTCAGCAGATCTCGATGGAAAAACAAATGGGCTACTTATAAAGATTTTTTTTAATTCTGCAATGGACGAAGTCGCTTGCTCAAATAAAATAGCCAATAAAACGACAAAAATTATATTCACGATTGACATCACAAAATATGGAAATTAAATTATTATTATTTTATATCATCAAACGATCAATCGTTTCCCTATCTATTAATTATCATAAATGTTCCATTACTGGTGGGTTCATGGTTTCCTAGTAAATAAAAAACATAGAATCTCCAAGACGATTCTCATCATCTTCACAGCGGGCACAGACAGAGGCGGTGACCTTTCTCGGCAACCAGGAATCGAGCCGTAGCCTGTACGCGATTCCCGGACTGGACTACGTAGCACACGACGACATCATCCCTTACACTTCGCTCGAACGCGTGCCCCTCCAGCACGAGCTCTTCGACAAGTTCCTCATGCACAATCCCGACAAAGGCAAGTACCCCAATAAAGGCAAATATGCAATTCTGTTAAAGGCAAATACAAAATACCGACAAAGGCTAGTGCAAAAAATCAATGAAGATAAGTAAACAATCTCCACAAAGGCAAATACACACTGAATCCCCATAAAGGCAAGTAGACAATTTCGATTAAGGCAAGTACACAAACAATCCTGACAAATCTCAGTGTAAAATTTCGACGAGGACAAATATAAATTACCATAAGGGCAAGGCAAGTTTACAAACATTGAATAAATTATCTGTGATTGTTTATTTGAAGATCAACTCAAATGCTATGACATTTTTGTGAGTTGACTTCAATTATTTGTTATTGTGTACAATACTTTTACAGACCCACCATTCATAGCTCAAGAGACACTCAGGGCTTGGCAGAAGAAGAACCACCCGTGGCTGGAGCTAAGCGACGTGCACCGCGAGACGACTGAGGGAGTGCGCGTCACCGTCATACCTTTCTACATGGGCAGCCGGGAATCACAGAATTCAGCTGTATATTGGGTAAGATGGTCATCTCTGGATCTTATTTCATAGTTAAATATTATATTATCCTGTTATTCACAAATCAAAAGTTTTTTGCTTTGAAGAATTGTATTGTTGTGTGTGTAAAAGGGTAGGAAAAACCAAGACTAAAAGGTAGCAGTTTTAGCCTTGGTTTTTCCTATCTTACTATTGCATAATTTTGTTGTAGGTTAGTTATTATGTTTAGTAAGTAATTTATTTTATTTATGTGCAGTGGCGTTATTGCATCCGGCTGGAGAACCTTGGTGCGCAGGCGGTACAGCTGCGCGAGCGGCACTGGCGCATCTTCTCGCTCTCGGGAACGCTGGAGACGGTGCGCGGTCGTGGTGTAGTCGGCCAGGAGCCGGTGCTCGCGCGTCACGCACCCGCTTTCCAGTACAGTAGTCACGTCAGCTTGCAAGCACCCAGCGGTCACATGTGGTAAGAATAACCCGCCTTTGTCTTAATGAGGCATTTCATATTCCTACTAAAGGCATTCTCTTCCTCTTTTGAGGCATCTACTATTTCCTGACAGAGGCATTTTATTTCCGTATATTTTTGTAAAAATTAAAATGTATTTTTTCTCTTTTATAATTTAAGGGGCACGTTTAGAATGGAGCGTGAAGATGGTTACACTTTCGACTGCCGCATTCCGCCATTCTCCCTAGAGAGCAAGCCAGACGAGGGCTCGCCCATGTCGCCCACGCCCAGCGCATGACCATAGACAAATCTACCGACCCAACAGATACTATTTCTACCAACGGACCTGTCACAATATAAACTATTTCTACCAACGGCATGTAAATTACCAATGGACTTTTCTTTTTCTAATTTTGTGGTTATCAAAATTTATATTTTCAATTACATGTTCTTATTTCGTTTAGTCGGCAAATTAAACCGTAAGCGTGTAAGCTTTAAGGTTGAAAATCCAACCAATGCTAAATGAAATTTATATTAGTGCCTCTATTTGTTTTCATATGTAAAAGAGATTTATTATACTTGAAATTATAAAGAGAAAACCGTTTAAAAATGTCCATTACCGTGATAGTGCATATAGTTCTGTCTTTATTATAAATTGTTTTTTTCTTTTAAAGAGAGGTTTTTAATTTATTGTTTTAGTTATAGAACAAACATCGGCCATCATTCAGATTGTCAATTGCATCCATTTTGTTTGAAATGGAATAGTGTAGTTGTTTTTTTAAATTAATTTAATAGATCTGTAATAAATTACAGTATTAAAATGTGTTTTGTTGTTTTTATTATTTTACCACAATAAAAAAAGTTGGCATTCATCTGTGTTTCTGTGGAAATCGTGTAGATACAAAGATGAAGTGAAATATTCAAGCAATTAGTAAATATGGGTATCTGCATCTAATTAAAAATCCAGTTTTTAAAGTTTTTTTCTGTCCGAGTGTACACAAATCCGTTTTTCTTTTGGGTAATCTCCGACCGATTTTGACGGAAATTTTCTTGGCAAGTAGCTAATGTGTGGGGGAGTTACTTTGGTATTTTTTTTAATTCCGCGTCGAAGTCGCTGTAATAAGTCATTGAAGTAGAATTTTTAGGTAAAAAATAAAACACAATAATATTAAGTATTTAATGTTTATGGTATTTGTTAAGTTTCAACGCACATAAGTCATTACTAAAATGAGTTAACAATGTTTAATGAATTTGACTCTAGCAAAAAGCTTCCAACACCTACATTATTTTTTTTAAATCTAACATATCCCTAATACCTTTTGGTCTAAATTAAAAACATAACTTATATGAAATAATTAAGTGCATTTAATTTTGTACGATTTTTTAAATATAATAATTTTAATTAAAATAAATTACATAAGTGCAATGCAAAATACATTTATACCATGCCATGACTCTATGTCAAGAGAACTGAAGGCTTTTGAGCCAAACCATAAAAAAGTTAGTGTTTCAAAGAAATTAACAAATTTATTTTTAACCCTTTTATCCTACGCTGATATTAGAATACCAGAAATCAGTATAATTGTAATATGCTATACTTCCGAAATGCGAACTTGACAAATAACCTAAAAACTTATATCGGAAGAATAGTTAGTCATACTTAAAAAAACATATCTCTTTGACAATAATGTTATTCTGCGGCGTTTAAAGGGATAAAACACGTATTTAACTAATCAATGTCGAACTGTATGTTTGGAATACGGAATAAGTTTTTGCCTTCATGAGGCATTTATAATTCCCGATAGAGGCATTTACTATTTCCCAGTAGAGGCAAGGCACATTGAACTTTTTCATAAAATGGCATAAAATTTGCACTTCGCAAAGCACTTAATCGCTCTCTTTGGTAAGTACTAAGCATTACTACATATAAAACATTTTTTTTTAAATATTTACAATAAATTATACAATTAATCGAATTTTTCAATGAGTGCGGAAAAATATATTATTATTTAAGTTAGTAAATATATTTACACAAAAATTTAGTTGTGTTATTCCTTTTTTTTTCAACGTGCAAGTTGTATGATTAATGCTGCACACATTTCAAAGAACTCCATAGTGTGATGACCTTGAGGTGCTGTCGGAATGGTCATAGGGTTGGGAGGTGTGGAAGCCACCGAGGTGGAGGCAGAGTCCTCGTCATACTCCTCCTTCTCGCTGGAGAGTGACTTGAAGTCGAGTAAATATGACTTGTAGTCAACTTGATACAATTGTAGTGACATTTTGACGAATTTATCCGTCTTTTTGTTTAATGTACGTACCCTGGAAGGAACGATATGTGTTATAGGCTAAGTTTTTAAGATAAAGTCAAACCTATATAAGTGAAAACCGTCTACAGTTAGATTGGACGGACAACCCTAAGAAAGTAACTTGGTTTAGAGAGAAACATAACCAAGAAAAATATCGTGGTCCCTTGGACTCTTGCTCATCCATTTTTTTAATTTCAACGTAAATTAAAACACAAAAAATATTCTATCAACCAGATTTGAAACAAAACCGGTTACAACTTCTTTGATCGCTACAACCGATGTCTTTATAACCTATGTTGTAATGATTAGTTTTTATATACATACCTAACATGATAAGGGTTGATGACTTTCCACTCATAATCCAGTGCCTTCATAGCTCTGAACACTTCCAGCATGATATCATTCGGCTTGCTCTGAGATCTTATCCCGAGATGCCACTTCGCTCTGCAAAGTACAACATAAATTGGAAACCCCATCCACTTTTATCTTACTAAAATTTTACATGTGAATATTTGGATGGATGTATGTATGTTTGAATGTATCTCCAGAACGGCTCAACGGATCTCTATGAAATTTGGCATACATATAGAAAATAGTCTGCAAGAACACAAAAGCCAATAATTATGTTTTTTTTTTAATACTGTCGGGACGGAGTCGTGGGCGACAGCTAGTGTTTGATATAAAAATGTTAGAATGGTTTACCTTTTAACAGGCGTTCCTCTCTGCTTGTCCTGTGCGGGTAAAGCGCTGGGTGACTCCTTGCTGCGCATTGGCGCGATTCGCTCGGGATGAGGTCGTGTTGGCTCCGCTGTGTTCGGTGGGGAATGACCTGTACATTCAAAATGTTTAAAATAATAAGTGAGATATGGCTACAAGAAAAATAGCATGTATGGTTAAAAAACTTTAAACATTATTTACCTAATTTCAATCTTACTAATATTATAAATGCAAATGTTTAGATGGATGTTTGTTTGTTTGAAGGTATCTTCAGAATGGTTCAATGGAACTAGATGAAATATGGTATATACATATAAAACATAGTCTTGAAGAACACATAGGCTGTTAATTATGTTTTTTTTAAATACCGAGCGGACGGAGTCGCTGTCGACAGCTAGTACTAAATTCTAACAGAACAACTTTTAAATATTTTACATAATCTTTATTAAGTAAATTGATTTTCAGCTATTAATACACCTATTTCACGATATACCTTCCGTTTCTCTACCAACTTACCAGCAATATAGAAGTCTTTGATCTCAGCTTTAGCGGCTTCATCAGCTATTCTTTTGTTGTCTATGATGAGGTGGTAGGCTATCGCGAGCTGATCATGTTGGTTACCACTGAGCAGTGCTGTGTGCACCTCCTGCTCTTTCACACCAAACTTCTCGCACACTTCCGCTATCGCTTCTACGTCTACAAATCCACTCTCCTAAAGACATACATTTATATTAAAATTGCTTCCCTACACCACATTTTTTTAGTGTAGTAGCGTACCTTCTTCCTGAGGGGGCTAGACATATTGCATTCGCTTCAAAGTGATTCTTTTCTACATTTACACATAATTTACTTAGTTGGTAAGTTACCTAAACTTAAACTTAATATAAGTAGTAAAATAATAATTTACCTGTTCCACAGGTGATGGAAATAAATAATCAGGTAAATCCTTTTGGAACCAATCGTATTTCTTAACATCCTCTATAGTTGCTCGTTTCATTGGATCAACTTGTAACATCATGCATAACAAACTGACAACACTCTTGTTTAAATACTCTGGAATCGGGAATATACCAGATTTGATCTTCCGGAACAATGTAGGTACATGTTCGTCGTCAAATGGTAGCGTACCACATAATAATGCATATAAAATGACCCCACAAGACCAAACATCTACTTCTGGGCCTGCATATAATTTTCCTGAGATGACCTGCAAATAATTTGAGTTTCACGATCTATTCTAAAATGTTCTAATTGAATTTTTCTAAACAAAATATGTTTGGTAGTAATGATCTGCACAGTATGAAAAAACAAATCTAACCATATTTCAGCAATATCGAGTAGCATTTTTGGAGATACCTTCTAACATCCATCCATCCAAACATTCACATTTATCATATTAGCTTATTTAGCATGTAAATTTTAAATAAGTAAAGAATTTACCTCTGGTGCAGCATAGTTTGGTGAACCACAAGATGTACGTAAGAATTCACCATCCAACATCATATTAGACAGACCAAAATCTGCTATTTTCACATGCATATTATGATCTAATAGGAGATTCTCTGGCTTAAGATCTCTATGTACGATCATGTGACGATGACAATAGTCAACACCGGATATGATCTGCTGGAAGAATCTTCTGGCTTCATGCTCTTGTAGTTTGCCACGTTTGACTATATAGTCAAAGAGCTCACCACCAGAAACATATTCCATTATCATAAAGATGTCTGTTGGTGTTGATATAACCTGTAATCAAATAAATCTATTAATTAAAATTAAAATGAGTAAATTGTAAGTAAAAACTTTAAATATGAATAAAGGATACATCAGTTAAAAACACTAGGGAGAGATAGGTAAATGGCCAATGGTATATTGAAGTGGCAAACCATCAATGATGGAGGATATATGAGTAGGATAGACAGGAAGATGATCATCTTACTGTAATATATGTTATTAAATCTGTACCTGATATAATTTAATGATGTGAGGATGACGAAACAGTTTCAAATTTTGAATTTCACGTCTTATCTTGCCAACAACATCGAGGGATTTTATTTTCTGTCTATTTAAAATTTTCACAGCAACTTTGTGTTTGGTAAGTTGATGTTCGCCTATTTTTACTTTACCAAATGTTCCTACGCCTAGAGTGGCACCTAAAGTATAGTGGCCTATCTTCACGATAGGCTGGTTTCCACTAGCTACAACAGGTTTTTCAGACATATTTACGTACTGAAAATGTCCTGAAGAAGTATTACTTTAAAATACGGTCTTAACACTGTACTCTATAGAAATTTGTTTAAGTAAAATATGTATCATAGGACTGTATAAATCACCATAAAATTAAAACTATGAACTAATAAAATAAATCACACTAAATCGATTGAAAATCATCAACTTTATTTAATTATATTCGCATGTTCTTGAGATCTTGAAGTCTTGAAATATATGTCATATGTCAAACAAGTTGTCAAAATTCGACAAAAACATAACAACAAAGAGTATAAAACATTGTTCTAATGTCATAAAGCATTTACCTTTCATTATCTCTGGTTTTGTCAATTTAAGATGATTTTGACAACTTTTCATGAATTTATAGTCTATGAAGAGCATTCCCCCTTCAACCCGCATCACAGTGCCCCACCCCGCTTGTGCCTGTTCTGTCCTTTTTCTGACGGTCTATCGTATAATGAGAAAAATAGCAATATTTATGAAATCATATTTGTATACAAAATATAAGTAAATAGAAAGTGTTCAAACATGGATAAATGTGCAATTTGTCTCAAGCCTGCAGTTGTAAGTAGATAGAAACCCTCTATAATACCATTATATCACGTAGAAACCCGTCAATATTTTTTGTTTTCTTTACGAGATTGTTATAAAAATAACACAATTATATTTCGAGAAGCTCTTTCTTTAGAAATATCTGTGTGGTTTTATTTTATAAAAGTGCCTTGTAATGCATGGAGGTCGCTGTAGCAATAATAATAAAAAAACTTGCGTTCGAAACCTGCCCGCCTTATTTTTTTTCTTCTTTAGTCTCGGTTTGTTTTTTTTTACGTCTGGAACCGCGCTTTGTAAAAACGTCTTTTTCTCTGTCCATAGTTATAGCTAATAATATTCAGAAAAACCTTTGTTTTGTCAAAAACATTTTAGAAATGTACAATTTATAAATGTAGTATTTATGTATTTTTTGCAGTTGTGCTAATTTTTCAAATATTTCCTAGTTTTGAGTTGTATAAGAATATGTTAAACTTGATAAAGGCAGTTTTGTACAATTTTGTTAGCCTATTTTTTATTATACCTAATAATAATTAGTTACTATTTTATGATTTTAGCAACTGTTTGAAACTGGAAAGGATGGTGTTTATGCCTGTTTTAAATGTCAGCCTCTTGTACCAGAAGTGACTATTGGTGACCATCCATCTGAAGCCACAGAGCCAAAGTCTTCCAAAACCATAGAGGTACCATTAAATATTTATTTAGTTTTAAACTTACAAAACAACTGTTCCTTTAATAGTAAGTTTACATAGCTGTAAGCAACACTTCCGCCTAGTTAACTTTCATACATAATATGTGACAATTATATGTTAACTAGCTGTCGCACATGACTCCATCCACTATGGATAGATAAAAAACTTAATTAGTAGCCCATGTGTTCATCTAGACAGTGTTCTACATTTATGCCAAATTTTATCAAAATTCCTTACCTTCAAACAAACACTCATTCATCTAAACATTTGCATTTATAATAATAGTAAGATAACATCAGTGAAAACTTACTACATAACTATTGAAAAAGTATGTAAGCAAATGATCCCACTGTTTTTCTATGAGTAACAAGGTTACTGAAATTTCCCGGTTCTGTTTGAGTTCTTATAAATAAAACATAAATGAATGTTTTAGGTGAGCATAGACTCAATTGGATTGAATTGTGATATATGCGAGAAGTCTTTTCAGAAGAACACCCAGTTGCAGAGTCATTTGCGCAACCATCTTGCAGAGAGGCGCTTTGTTTGTACATATTGTAATAAAGGTAACATCAAAAATTGTGTTATAAAAATTTATAACTACTATATTATATACTATATTATATACTATATTATATTACATACTACCTGTTGCCCGCGACTCCGTCTGCGCGGAATAAAAAAAACTTAATAAGTAGCCTATGTGCTCTTCCATACTATGTTCAACTCTATGTCAAATTTCATAGGAATTCAATCAATGGATGTTGAATGGTTCCAGAGATACCTTCAGACATATATTCATCTATTCAAAATTCACATTTATAATATTAGTAGGATATTATACTTTTAAATTGTTATATAAATAGAAAACTGCTATGTGGTGCATTTATGGCCTCTAAAACCAGTACAAGCTGTTTTTAAATTCTTTTAAATAAATAAAAAAATAGTGTTTTAAATACTTTTTAGCTTATTATATGGAACAAATTTAAATATTTTTTTATTATTTAAATAACATTTTCCGATTGACATATGTATCTGAGAAGAAATTCAAAGATATGTGTGAAGTCAACCCGCACTTGGCCAGCATTGTTGACTATGGCCTAATCACCCTTAGTTTTGGGTAGGCTCCTAGCCCCTGGGTGGGGACATATAGTGAGCTGATGATGGTGATGATGAAATAAAACTCTGTCTTAATAATTTATGTTATATTTCCAGCGTTTTCCCAATCAAATAATTTGAGAGCACATCTCCGTATACACACAAATGAACGGCCATACAAATGCTCAGAGTGTGGCAAAGCATTTACACAGGTATGTATGTATTTTAGATATTATTAATTAGAATTATTTAACGTGAATGACATGCTGTCGTTACAAAGTTTAGTGTAAGAATGAATGGGACACATACGTCGATATTTTACTAAGGTTAGTGTTGAGTCAATACACTGCCTCATTTTCTGATTTTCTTCCTTACAGTATGTATGTATGTAACTTTGTGTTTTCACCTCAGAAACATCTATGTAATTAAAACTAGCTGTTGTCCGTCACTCTGTCTGCACAGAATTATGAAACTTAGTAGCCTATGTGTTCTTCCAGACTACGTTCTACATCTGTGCTTTCAAGATACGAAATTTTCTAAAGTTCGCGAATTTTTTTTTGTCGATATTTTGTTAATCTTTTCTTACTATATCTTAGTTTATACTAATATTATAAATGCGTATGTTTGGTTTGATGGATGTTTGAATGTATCTCCGGAACGGCTCAATGGATCTTGATGAAATTTGACATAAATAAAGAACATAGTGTGGAAGAACACATAGGCTAATAGTTAAGTAATTCCGTGCAGACGGAGTCGCCGGCGACAGTTAGTCAAATAAATCTAATTTATATTGTTTTTTCTTCTCAATTAACAATTTTTATGTTTTTAGGTGACAAATTTAAACAACCATGTCCGTTTGCACACGGGCGAGAGGCCATATGTGTGTCCGGAGGAAGGCTGCGGGAAAGCTTACGCTCAGGTAACTTTGAAAATATATTTAAACTAGCTATCGACCGCGATTCTGTCCGCGTAGAATCTAATAAAAACTTAATTAGCACTATGTGTTTTTCCAGACTATGTTCTACATATATGGCCAAATTTCAGCGAGATCTGTTGAGCCGTTCTGGAGATATCTTTAAACAAAATCTATCCATCCATCCAAACATACTATTGCCATCTGGATGGGACCTATTCGTGTAAACGATCTTTTTAAAAAGGCAATAACAACCACAGTTAATATTGATTTAGTACTAAGTTTTGAATTTATTGTAGGTGACGAATTTGAATCAACATCGCAAGCGTCACCTCTCTGGTCCAGCTCCAAAACCTGGGTATGATTGTCCTATTTGTGGGGAGAGTTTCCAGCAGCGGAATCATATGCATACCCACAGGTAACTAGACTCTTTACTTATATTTTATAATTTTTTTTTTCATATCAGTTCCAACAAGCTAGTTGCCTGTATGTTACTTAACTATGGAGGTCCTAGACAAATTGCAATAACCTTATTATGTTTAATTGTCATCCAATTCAACTTAAGAATTTTTTTTTCGACTGCCCCATTTTTACTATGGATTGGTAGGAGGGGTTAATAGGATTTATTGTGACTAATTTGCAGACCAGTGGCGCCCTTTACTGTCTAGCGCCCTGGGCGGTTGCCTAAATGCGCCCTATCATATTGCCCATAAAACATACATACAAAGTAAAACAAATACAAAAAAACTTAAAACATACAGACAGGAAACTGTCAGGCAAAAATTCAACTTAAAGGTTCATTTAGACAAGTGGGAATAGTACCAAGAACGCTCGACAGTCATTTTAGAGCGAGACAAACATATGGGATAATACGTTTGTCTCGCTCTGAAGCAACTGACAAACGTTGTTTGTACGATTCCGGCTTATGTCTAAACTAGCTGTCGCCCGTGATTTCGTCCTATATAACAAAAACTTAATAGACTATGCGTTCTTTTAGACTATGTTTTATATCTGTGCTAAATTTCATAGAGATCCGTTGAGCTGTTCTGGAGATACCTTCAAACATCCATCTAAATATTCATATTTATATTAGTAAAAGTCAGATAATATGAAGATATGTGTGCAGGCGAACTGTACACGAAGTACCAAGTGAGGTAGGTAAGAAGTCGAAGTCATCGCGGCTGTCGTGCGGCGTGTGCGGGGAGGTGCAGCCCGGCTCCTCCGCGCTACGTCATCACCTCGCCTCACATGTACACGACTCTGACAATGATGACAGTGAGTACACACTACAAATGTGAGACACAAATATATATAACAATAGGTGCGAGAGAGACGGATGCGTATCAATCATCATTTATAATACACGTAAGACAGAACTATGTTTTCGATACTGTCGGAAAGAGACGGATGCGTGGTGATCTATTGGTGCGGTGGATTAGGCATTTGAGATAGATATATGTGCGAAAGAGATGGATGCGAAACTTGTTTATAATAGCGAATGTATTTACTAGTCAAGTGAGAACGACCTATGCGTGCAATACTGAACGAAAGAGACGGATGCGTAACTACAGACGTATAAGTGCGAATGTATTGGACACATGAGACACACTATGTGTGCAAAAGAGACGGATGCGAAACGATGTGATTATAAGGGCGAAGGTATGGAATAGAAACGTGAGGCAGAACTATGTGTGTTATGTTGGAAAGAGATGGATGCGTAACTACGATATGACATAATATTGTAATATCGTAGTTTGCTTGTAGTACGAACATCAATCTAGCTAATATACCTCGCCAGAGAACCTTGAGGGAAGGAAAAGAGTTATACATTGGGAAATAGGCGTCAAGGAATGCGGATGTCTACGGGTTATCGATTGCTTGGCTATTGTAGCAGTGTGGCAGTTGTAAGTGTTTGGTGTTGTGTACAGAGCGCGTGTACTCGTGCGTGTTCTCGTCGTGCGGCGAGAGGTTCATGTCCCCGGGACAGCACACGGAGCATCTGCTGCGCGCGCACCAGCTGCGCGTGATGACTGCGCGCGCGCCGCACCCCCCGCGCCGCGGACGACCTCCCAAAGTGAGCGCATAACCACTAACCTATACACCCTTTATACCCTTTTGAGGATGACTAGCGGTTGGTAGCGATGATGAGGATCCTAAGTAATATAGATAGAATAGAATGAATTATTAGCACGTCCAAAGGCGCGTTTAAAGTAAATCGTAATCGGAATGAAGTAAAATATCTCATTGTCAAAAGATAGAACTCTTTGGCTTAACCAAAGAGTTCTATCTTACTTAATTTAAGGCACAGTTTTTTCGTTCACCATATCGATTTATCTTACCAAAGATTAAGACATTACAAAGCCTAACAAATATCATTTAAAAAGAGAGTATTTTTGTTAGTAGTAGTTTAAGAGACAAAAGCTGTAGATTAGAATCGTTAAAATGAGTCTTGTGTGATATAGAAATGACCGTAACCTCACTGTTTAATTTTCGTTTCAAATTGCAGGTGTCAAGAGATATGTTTGATCCGGAAGAGAATTCCATGTATGATGAGGTATGTACAAGTCAAATATAGACAAACAGTATATATTTTAAATTAAATAATTTTGGGTATTCTAACATTAAAAATATTTAGTAGTATATGTTTTTTCATTTAGTTTCTCAAAAAATATTTTTTTTTTCTATCAATTTAAATTACAAGTGTCGCTTTGAACTAAGGTTTTATAATTATTTTTTTATATATCTTTTAATATTCCAGGTAAAAATAATCAAACAAGAAACGCAATACTCTCCCAAATTAAAAGTACAGAGTCTGTTCCAATGAGGAACTTGTTTGTTGACGTTTCTAAATTTGTATCATAATTAGTACGGATCTGTCTAATATTAGCTACGATTGAACGAGTGAGCGAGATAGATATATACGGCAGTATAAGAAGGACAGAGACGGAAGATGTTTGATCAACTCAGGGGTGTATTTGGTCGTGTTTTATTTTATTAAAAATAAAAAAATTGCTTTCATATTTGAATGCTGCATTTAATGTTTAAAAAGAGATATAGATGGATTATAGATGGAAGTATTAGATTTGTAATTAAGTGATATTTTTAAGTGCAATTTCTTAATAAGATAGTTTATAATAAAGATATAGTTTTGACTATAGATAAGAGACAATTTTTCTTTGTGACCATTTGCTATGTTCGCACAATTTGATTTAGTTACATCGTGCATGATAACATGACCTGACGCCTATTACGTCACTGAGTGTATCGTACGAGCAATTTTGCGTACCAAAAATAAAGTACGCTTTGCAAAATAATGTGGAAACACGTAACTATCAAGTTATTGTGCACGTATAGTATTCCAGAGTTTGTAAAAAAACTTTATTGTATTCCAATGATTGGATTTTTATTTATTTGGCGTAAAATTATGAATATCATCTCGCCAATTAAATTTTAAAAAAGTACGTGAACATATTCTAAATTGCTTTTATTTTATTTTATTTTATTTTATAACATATTAAAATTTATTTGAAAATAAATATATTTTATTTAAATAAAAAAATGTTTACTTACTATAGTCTGTCAGTCTGCATCTGACAATTTTATAAACACGGCGTGATGATATTCATAACAATAACAAAAGGTACAATTATCAACACGTATATAGTGTCGAAGGAAATAGATATTAAGAAAATTGTCTACATTGAGTATATAAAGATTTTATATAATGAGTGATAATTTCGTAATCTTAAGCATCATCAGCTCACTATACGTCCCCGCCGAGGGGCTCGGAGCCTACCCTAAATTAAGGGTGATTGGGCCATAGTCAACCACGCTGGCCAACTGCGGGTTGATTTCACACATATCTTTGAATTTCTTCTCAAATATGTGCAGGTTGCATCACGTTGTTTTCCTTCGCGAATATAAATGGCAACGATGGCAAACGAGAGAGTGGCCGCCTGAAATCGCTGAAATAGCGAAACGACCGTTGCCCATAGACATACGCAATTGCATATGCGTTGCCAACCTTTAATCGACGGAGGAGAGGATGCACAGAAAGAAAAAAAATCCCTTCCCATGCATCCTCCCATCCGGAAAGTCCACTTCCACCTCCCATCCTTTCCTTATAAGAAAAAGGGTGGGAAGGGACAGAGGACTAAATTAGGTCTCCGGGACACACACTCATCAGACTGCACGCGGAATTGCTTCCACTTGACGCCTGTCTTCTGTGTGGTCGTGGTATTTCACCGGGCGAGCCGGGACAATTCGTGCGAAGATGTTAAAGCGGGCTCTACCACATTTTGCAAACAAAATAATAGTATTAAATATTTTTAATATTAAAACAAAGGTAGCGGAGGAATGTATGGATTGTATGAAAGATATACATAAGAAAGGAGTGGATTCAGATATGATGTATGGAAGAGAACAATTACGTTTGGAAAGGATTAGTTTGATCACTCATTAAATAAAAACTTAACTCTAATTATATCATAGTTATATGTTTGGAACTATTTGTGATCTAACCGTATGTTTTCATTGCCGAAACATTTGTTAAAAACATGCATCTGCGGGGTTAGACAAAATTCATCTGCTTCGAAACGATTCCATAACGAACTTATTCGTACATTTTCGAAATTTATTATAAAATCTTCTCGGATCGAATGCATTTTGTCTAGATCTGTTAATTATTTCAAGGACGTGAAATTTCAAAGTGTTTCTATACAAGTTTTTCGACAATGGGAATTCACGGTACACATAACAACTTATCAGAGATATTTTGAGAATGTTTAAAAAACACGGTTATATAAGACGATTATTTTTTTAGATATCGCAAATGTTTTAGTTAAGGTAATAGAAGTGATTATGGATTTATGATATTAGGAATTCTAACAAACATATCCAAATAACTCTCCTTTTAAAGTCACAGACTTATTAAATTCAGACATGTTTATATCACTTTAAACAGCCATTGGTTTTTGAGACTAAATCTGTATAAAACATATCGTTGTCCCTGTCATTATCTTTGACAAAACAGAGATAACAATATATTTTAAACGGGGATTTTGGTCTTAGAAACTCAAGATAAAACGTTCCGAAATAATTCCATAGACAATAAAAGATATTTTCAGTGAAATTTGTCAATTTAATTTCACATTTCTTAAAGAATTTGAGTCGCTATGGACATATAAAGCGAAATTTTATATTTGCATATAAAAATGATATTTCTCATGCAATATTTTAGCAATAATTGACATATGTTTATTTAATTTACTTAGAAAATAATAATATGAAAGCAATAAAAAATGGTTTATGTTCCGTCCCACAGCATAATAAATATATTGATAAAGGAAAAAATATAAATAATATCGAAAAGTTGTTATGTGTACAGTAAAGTATTAAAAAAGTATAATAGTATATAAGCGAGATTCGTATATGTATAGATTATGTTTACCCCCTTTCTGCAGGCGTGAAGATTTTGTGTTATATTGATTTAATATTGCTATCTCTTTTGCTTATATAAAAATTGTCATGTCTCTTTCCTTCGGAAAGTAAACATAATGAAATAGCTCCATTTTATTGAGCTTGGTGCTTTTATGTATTATTATGACAATTGACTCCCATTACTAACAAATCTTTTATAAATTCGATTTAATTTTTTAATTCAAGATACGATCGAGAAAAACGCGCGCAATGTCGAATTATAGCCACCATATTGAAATGTCAAATAGTTTCAGTGTCAGCCAATCACCGGGCTGTATTATTGACAGTAGCGACACTAAACATTTCATACCTTTATAACCTCCAAATTGAACGTTTAATACGAATTCGAAATTCAAAAAAGCAGATTTTACGTGAATATGTTTTTTTATTTGTTGCTGGATTTTACGAAGTTACAATTGATGGCTAGTTTTGAGGCAAGTATGAGATAATTTTATTCCAGGGGTCAATTGTTACAAATGTTTGTACAATATTTTTTTTATAATAAGTTGTAAAAAAATCTCCCACGCCATATAATTGTGTTAAGGTGCAAATGTTCCTATGAGTGTTAGGGTCTTTCAATCGCTGTGCGTTCGTGTAATAGCTGACCATTTCTATAGCATCTTGTAAGTGTCATGTAATAACATTTTACTAATAACAATAACTTTTATCTTAATAAAATATACAATTTTGAGTTTTATTTTTTCATTTACCTTATATACACGAATTTATACTTTTAGGGCGTCGCAATGAAGTGGGTGAGTCGCTGCCCTGTTTTAGAATACCAAAATTAAAAATGGATATAAAAATATTACAATATATCCAAATAGATTACACTTACAAATATTTACATGCAATATTAAGCTATTTTAATTATAATTTTTTCTCTTTTTTTGTAATTCTTAAGTAAGGCAAGCAATCTCACAATGTAACTAACATATTACTTAAACTATAGCACTAAGACGAAAGAGACCTATAATACGGGTCTAGAACCTAGTTTAGGAATCAGGCGTACTATTACTATGTAATTTTATCATAATTTTTGTTGCCTAAATAAACGATTTTTTTTTTATAGATAACTAAAAACTACTTGTCTGCGTTGTTAAAAAATACCACATGTCAAAAAGCATTGCCTTACAAAAAAAAAAAAGAATTTTATAACCAGCCTATACTCCTTAGCCCAGATCATCGACTAATGACGCCGCATTTTATTTTATTGTGGTAACAGGATTAAAGAAAGAATAATATTCATAATTTAGACATTTATTACAAAAACTTACAGATCAATCAAGTTATAGAAAGATGTAATCGTCGACTAAAAACGATAAAAAAAAACTTAATATTTAATATTATCTGTACAATAATTCGTAAGTATCTAAGCGTCGTATCTTTGGAATTGTATGAGAATGACTAGATAAGTTGTTACCGCACCAAGTACCTGGAATTAAAAAAAATATTCCCTTAAAACTTTTAGCCAGCCAGAGTAATAAGTTTGTATGCTTTATCGTTTTTGTCTAATCTAAGAGGACATAGCCCCCCAGGTAGGGGTTCAAGCCCACCAGAAGGGGCTTAAGGCCCTCAGAACAAATCAAACCTCACATAAGTAGTAAGGCCCCCAGAGTAGAGTCTTGTCTTTCTTAAATCCACTGTCGTTTCTCTACTCCTAGTATATATAGTGAAGAATATTATATTATATAATTGAATTAAAGAAAACACTTACGGAAGCTACAAGAGGTCTATCCAGAGTGCACATTCCCATCGGCGAGTACGTCACAGATTGCAACATGAGTTGTCGCGCAAACACCTCCAGTCGTGACGGCAGGCTACCGTTAGATGGCGCTGATCTCATTAGCTGACAGACCAGACCTTCTGTTCTCTTACCCTGATGGAAGGTTTTTAGTGAGCCTAGTAAAATATCATAGTTTTTCTTTTGTTCTCCTTTAAGAATTTTATATTGTTATAGTTTTATCCTTTTGTAGATTTTAGTTTTGAAGTTTTCTAAAGCTTTTTACCTCGGTAATAGTGTAGTGACATGGTTCGACGACAACAAACATTCGTAGCATGTGAGTCGCGCACCACAGGAACTGCAGCACCAGGAAGTGGATTCTATTCGTTGATACGACTGCAATACAACGCATTATAAATATACAAAATCGGTGGCTCGAGGGCAATGCACTTGACTTGAAAATTGCAGGTCCTGGGTTCGAATCCTGCCACGTACGGATGTGTTTTTTGATTTTCGATATACATATGTACATTTATCCGACGCGACGTTCTGACGGTGAAGGAAAACATCATGATGCAATCGGCACATATTTGTGAAGATTTGAGTGTAGTCAACCAACCCACGTTGGGCCAGCGTGGTTGACTATGGCCTAGTCGCCCCTGATATAGGATAGGCTCCGAGCCACACAGTGGGAGCGTACAGTGAGCTGATGATGATACCTAAATACTAAATGTACACAAACTACAAAGACCATAATAATGTTGTTCAAAGTTATGTTGTTCACTTACTTATCTCCATAATCAGGAAGTACGGTGTGACAATCAAGTGCAACAGCGTGGATATAAGTATCAGTATGAGCGGCAGACCGTAGCTGCGGTCAAGGGCGTGCACGACGTCGCAAAGCGCGCCGTGCAGGCACGCCAGCCGGCGTATAGCCTCACATGGTGGGACCACCAGCCGAGGTTCTCCAGTTACTGTACAATGTTGAAAAATAGCCGCCATACATCGTTATATGTCTGGTTTAATTACTATATAGCGGTGTTTAAAAATCATAAAATCTTAATGCATGTCAATTGAATGACAACCTTTTTAAACAAAACGATTGCACCTGTCATTTTAAAAACAGCAATAAAACTAAGCTGCATTATTGCTAATTATTTTTATAAGGATTCGAATCATGCGAAGTAGATTATGATTTTATATTCTTTGCCATAAAAAAATTGTAACCTGTGTTCCGAATGATGACGCTATGATCGGGGTCGTGCAGTGTGTCAACCAGCAGGCTGACATTGGCACAGCGCCGCGCTTCGGTAGCCGCCATACGGATAGCTAGCACGTTTAAAGGCGGCGGCTCGTACATTTTCTTTACTGCGATAAATATTAATTCAACATTTTGGAATCTTTATATAAAACTATTACAGATTGCTTTAATATAAATAATAATATAACTGCAAAACATTGCATGTTGGTTACATAGTAACTAGAACGGATTTGGATAAAGTTTAGAAGAGGAATATAACTTATGCTGGTTTATCCTTGAAAATATAAGATTCCCTTTGGATATATTTTCTTTTTTAAAATCAATTGATAAATTACAACCAAATGAAAACACTGGGATTCTATACTTCCACTCAATGTGTCTCTGGAGAGTAAGCTAAAAATTACCAGGAGCGGATACAATTTTGGCAGTTAGGGCCAGTGCGTTGTTGACAGCTTGAAACCTCGCGCGCACAGAGAGCGCTGTGAAGGCGAACTGCAGCTCCAGAATCATAGCCACGTACCATAGTACGTAGAAACCTATGTAATTTATCACCACGTTCCCTGCAACATTAACAAATCCAATTTAATATTCGTAATCTAGTGTTCGACATGGCCCTATTCTTTTTTAATAATACCTGCAGTGAAGCAAAATATCGTAAGGAAACCTGCCTCAGAATAAATTTACAGATGTCAGTGGTCAATTGGACTGATTGTTCGAGCGTGGTACATCGTCAGCTCATTATAAGTCCCCAACGAGGGGCTCGTAGCCTACCCTAAGTTAAGGGTGATTAGGCCATAATCAACCACGCTGCCCGAGTGCGGGTTGGTTGACTTCTAGCGTAGTAGGCTACTAGTAATTCCTAAACTAAGATGGGCTGACAAAAGGGAGGTTTAGCATTTCTTTTCTTAGGCATGTAGAGTAGACTTCACTTTAACTGAACTGACTACAACTGAATCCAATATAAAAATACTTCTTAGTGGAACTTACATTGTCTTTGGTACTTGGTAGCTTGCAGCGCATAGAAACAAAAGTCGTCAGCGATTAGAATGGAGAAGAATATGAGAATGGCAAGGAGTATGGCGCATAGTTTGCGTTCCGTTACGCGCGAGTACTGCGCTCCGATGCTGTGGTCCACCTAAAAGCGATAAAGTTAAGTATACGTTTTCTTTTTAACTCTTTTATCTGTCCTTATCTTTTAGGGTCGACCTTCCTTCTTCTCTTTGGTATGTATATTAACATTTGTAATTTGCAATGTAATTTTAACATTTTCAAATATTATTAATTTATTCCTTTTTACGTTATAAATCGGAAAATAAATTTATTGTTGTGTTTTCCTTTTTCCGTAACACGCCCCCTTTCGAGCCTCAAGTGATTAATGGATGATCTTTATTGTGATGAGATTTTTTGAGTATTGTTGTAAAATACTTGGTATTAAGTTTATCTTACAGATGCAATACTCTCGCAGAATTTGAGCATATTCCGCATTCGACGGGGTGCTCCATAGACGCCAGCGCCGGCGGTCACCGCGACGACCAAGACATCGCAAGCGGACACGACTTGTGACATGCGTGATGACATACGCACGGATACCTCCACGCCTGCAGACATCTCCGCCACCAGCCCGGAGATTGTTGATATCACTGCAAAATTATTCACATTTGAACAGTGGTAGAGCCGGCTTTAACATCTTAGCACGAATTGGCCCGGCTCGCTCGGTGAACTACCACGACCACAATTAAGACAGGCATGAAGTGGAAGCAATTCGGCGTTTCGTCTGATGAGTGTGCATTCCGGAGACCTAAATTAGTCCTCTTTCCCTTCCCACTGTTTTTCTTTTAAGCAAAGGATGGGAAGTGGAAGAGGACTTTCCGGATGAGAGGATACATGGAAGGGGAAAATATTTTCTTTCTGTGCATCCTATCCTCCGTCTATTAAAGATAGGCAACGCATATGCAATTGCGTATGTCTATGGGCAACGGTCACTTCGCTATTTCAGTGATTTCAGGTGGCCGCTCGCTCGTTTGCCACCTTATCGTATAAAAAAAATCATATACTGCACACAATCTTCATCCGTTTAAATTATATAATCTTTCTATTCGTATATCTCTCAGAATTTCACCGGCTTCTAAGAACTTTGGCTTCTATAATAGTAAATCCTAAATATTATTTTCAGTCGACAGATTTACATATTTAGTACCTACTCTTATAATAAAAAGTTTTGACTATATACAGCGTTTGTAAAAAATATTTTAAGCTACCTCACAAGATCAAAGTGTCTTCGCTATACTTGGATTTATGACCTGCATATTTATATGTACCTTTATATGTAACCTGTATATTTATTCAGATGATTTGATCATGCCTCGCTTACCTAAAATTGTAACTAGAATATATCCGTATATGCACATAGCGTTTGAAATGGAGACGGTGAATCCATTGCAGCGTGACTCGAAACGCAATGGAGCCAGACCAAAGAAACTGGATACCTGAAACATTACACACTACAGCAATTCTAAGATTATTAGGAACATTCATTCTAATATAAAATAGTCCTTTGACCCTTATTTAAAGGCAGTTTCCCATCTTTTGTTATGAACGCAATCATTTGCACCCAGTACATAGTAGGCTAGCGGTTCTCTGTGGGGAGAGTGGCCTGATGCGTTTTCTCTCACCCTCAGAATGATAGCGTGTGCACCGCCGACGACACAGTGCATGACTCTGGTGTCACCGCCGCCCGCGCCTGCACCCACGCCCTCACCCCCGACCGCAGCGCCTTCGTGCGCCACCTTATCTGACTCCACACCTACAAAATTACCACTAATAATATGACTTTAAGAAAGTGAAAAAGCGATTGATTACACTCCGGTAATATGAATTGAATGACACCACATAATATACAATCATTAAGTACATAAAAAGTTACTGTATATTAATATTAAAGTTGTCATGAATCAAAGAAACACATGTACATCGACTCACAACCCCTATAACAATCAGGGGAAGATTATGAATCAATTAATACTTAATAATTCAAAATTGGTCAAGCAAACCTTTATAATAGACACAACGATCACACTCAAAAATACATTTTTACTAAACAGTAAAGAACACGTCTTACTAATATTATATATGCAAACGTTTGGATGTATGGATAGATGTTTATTAGAAGGCTCCAGATTGACTGCATGGATCTCGCTGAATAGATGTAGAACGTTTGCCAAAACACATAGACTATTGATTGAGATTTTTAATCCCTCGCAGACGAAGTTGCGGGCAACCACTATAACAAATACGTGACTGATCGCATGCGATTAGTCGTTAAGTGGAAAAAGGACACGTAGCAATCATTTGATTAAAATTTCGTGGTCAAAGTTACCAAGGTTAGAAGATTCATCCGTGATGTGTAACAGTAAACTGTTAACTATAAGAATTCCAAGCAATTAAACCTATTTTGACATGATATTATAGCCTTCTGTTAATAACAGGTTTTGAATAATCGTTATACATTATTCAAGTATGTAAATATACCTGTAGCTATTATATAGGGTTACATTGGTTTGTACTCATTTGTTTTGTTCTAATGTGTACAATGTACTCATCCCGGGATAGATCAGAACAGACAGGACGACACAATTTGATATGTGTCCGAAAAGCTAGACCTTACATAAGATATAATACAGAATAATTAGCCAGGAACCAATTTTTTTTAAGGCGTATTTTAATGATGTATACGTGTATATTTAAAATTACATTGATTTTATTATTATTTGAATAAAAAATATAACTACAAAATGCACGAGCGCTCACTCGTATCCGAGTGGGCGGCACTAAATGTGTTAATATTATAAATGCGATTATTTAGATGAATGGATGAATGTTTATTAGAAGATATCTCCAAAACGATTCAACGGATCTTGATGAAATTTGGCATAGCCTGGAAGAACACAGGCTACTAATTAAGTTTATTAAATTACGCGCGGACGGAGTCGCGAGCTATAGCTAGTAAATAATAAAAGTGAAATAAATACCTTTATTCATTACAAATTGGAAAATAAAATAAACTTTGAATATGTTTATAAATCACTGAATAATGCCTGGTTTATATTATGCCAGTAGTATTTAAAATCATCGCTCGCATACAACTGGATTAATGTCATTGGCGCCAGTAAACCAAAACAGTACATGCGAGGCCAGCACTACTGTCTTATTGAACTGGCATAATGGAAACGAAGCATAGAGTACGCAGGCATTTTACAATCACTGTATACAATGTAACTTTGGGTTATCACTGTCGAAAATCTTTTATGAAATATTTCTATCGCACCCTTCCTCTTTGAATAGATAAGGACAACAGGTTTAAATTATGACTACACTTGTGTTTCGTTAAGCAATTATGATTTTACGATTTTCATTAGGAACCTCATATCAAAAGTTATTTATATTGAACTAAAGATACATTTTACGTTAAAATTGAAGGTTTAATTAATAATTCGATGATTAATTAACACGGTATTTCAGAGGCAACCTTCCGCGATTTGAACACGAACGTACTGCTATCCCACGGGTTTGTAGCGAGCTTGTAGCTGCCGTATCGATCATAGTTATAGAAAAAGTTTAATTGCCTATCACTTGGAAAACACTTCATAATACAGTGAAGTTTTACAACCCAATATTATGAACATCATATACACTAAACATATAGTTTCCATCGTCCCGTTCGAGTTGAATTATTGTTGTTGATTTTGTAATTAGTCATTTTAACAAGCAAATTGATTATTAAAGTAATACATTCACTAATAGACGCACATTTGGTAGTTAATAGTAGAAAAGATTATGTTTTTAGAAGTTTCATCGACTGATTAAAAAAAAAATGTTTTTTTTTCGTGACATTTGGTTTCAAGGTCGCACTTGATACGTATAGTAATGAGTTTTCAAATATTGACACGGATATCCACTGCTAGGATACTCGTAAAAAACCTTGTTGTCAACTTGAGGCATTTTTTTTTAATTTATTGAAGACAGGCGTGAAGTAGAAGAAATTCCGCGTTTCGTCTGATGAGTCTGGTAGCGGAGGCCTTTCCCTTCCCACCCTTTTTCCGTAGTAGTTCAGAAGTAGATTTTCCGGGTAAGAGGATGCATGGGAAGGGAAAATTTTCTCTTCTTGTGCATCATCTCTCCGTCGATTAAGGGAAGTCAACGCATCCGCAATTACACATGTCTATTGGTAACGGTCACTTCGCTATTTCTGCGATTTAAGGTGACCGCTCGCTCGTTTGCCACGTTATGAAAATAAAAAAAAATGGAATTTTGTTAATTTGCGTAAAACGGAATACTACATGTCATTGTACGTGGTGTAAACAAATAATCAATTTGCGGCAGATGTTTCGACGCTGAATCAAAACTGACATATTTATTCGTTGAGGTGCGAAATGGTTACATTCTTGAAGAGAATTTATTTCAAGCTTAAATAATATTATGACTGGCCTAAAATATATTACTTTTATTCATTGATGTAAAAAAGAAAAATAATAGTAATAGAGTAATCAGTGTTTGTTAAAACTTACCGAAACTTTCACATTGAATATTTTAAGTTAATGTCCGTTTAAATATCAAAAATGTCACGTGTGTTTTAATGGAATACGAAAACAAACTGGCATTTGATAGACACTTTATGAATAAAGTAGTTTTTGTATTGAAACAAATTATATAGAAGGAATTTAGGGCGTACCACGCGGTGTCTATAGCCCCTCTAGTATCGGATACCTTTAAAAGACTGTTCGTTTTCGTTGTTTTGCGTCATTTGTTGTACTTATGGTTCCAATACGTATTTCGAGAAACAAATTTATATTTAAACATACTCGAGCAAACACTTTATTTTCGAACTAGTGGTAGCCGCGACGTCTTCAGCGCAGAATTAAAAAAAATAATTTGCCTGCGTGCATCAGCTAACTTCAGGTCAATGTCCCGTCAAAATCGGTGCAGATTTTTCGCAGATTACCCGAAACAAAATCGGCCTAAAGGACAAACAAATAGACAGACAAAAAAATAAAATATAATTTTGTTGATAGATGATTTTTTTCTCGATATTACATACAGACACTCCAATTTTATTTAAATATCAGTGGGCACATATAATGAGCTGATGATGAAACAGGAAACCTAAGACTTACTGTTGAGTAGTCATAACTAGGCTGCACACTTAGCAACCACTAATTAACTAGAAGTGCTATTAAAACTATTTATGGTTATCGCAAAACTGTCAAGTAATGGAAATGTGTTGCTTGGAATTTTGTCATTCGTTCTAATTTTAAAATGCAAAATTAAAAAAAAGAAAAGTCATTTCAAGTGTCGTCTTTGAACAAAGCAGTTTTAATAACAGAAATGTTTCTTTTCATTTTACATATGTCTCTAATTGTAAAAATATTTGCTAACACAATTCATCCGGTCGATGTAAAAATAAGTGAGAATGATTTGCAGAAGATAATTACAGAAATAGATTTAAATGAAGAAAATTTAATATCAAATAAATCTTTAAAGAATGACGAAGATAAGTTTACTATTTTATGGAAAAAAATTGCAGACATAAGAAAACAAAAGAAAAATTTAAACAATCTATATAATTCTATGAATAATATTGAATATAAAGATCAAAATAAAAATAATTTAAGAAGTAAACGACAAATTCCCGAAGGAAACGCTCAAGTATTGATTGGTACTTTCCAAGCGATAGTAAGACCTTTGAAAGCAGATGCTGAAAGTAAATCCATCAATATTTAAAATGTCATTTTAATTTCGTTTTAAAAGTAATTAACAGCATAGAATAAAAGTTGAAAAAAAACATTGAATGTGTTATTAAAAATTAATTACAATTTATTATTCGTATATATTTGCGCCTTTTACCGTGGAGACCTTGGGGCTTTGGGGTGCGGAAGCCCGTCACCTGTTTAAGGAGATTTCCGCACGCCTCATCGACGCCTCAGGGGATCCAAGGGCTGGCGCGCATTTTGCGCAACCTGAGCCTGGACATCCAACGGGGAAGTGCCGCCAGCCCCTTGGGAACCCTACCGTGCGACCGCAGCGTTTTGGAGTTGATTTTTTTATATTATTTAGTTTCATTTTTAGTTTGGTTTAGTTTATGTATATAGTTTATTTAATATATTTAATATTAATTAATTCATTTATTTTCTAGTGGTTAGTTATTTAGTAAGATCATATTTTAATTTATAATTAGGTTAATGACATTTTATTTATTATTAAATGAGTCTCTATAGGCAAGGTTCCGAAGATACTGGCAGCGTTCCCCGTTGAATAGCTAAAGTTATTCTTTGTACCAGATTGCTGCCAGATCTTCGGTCTCCTGTGGTGATGGTGTATTTTAAAATAAATTTTCCAAGCAATAATGTTTCATGTTTTATTTCAATTAAGTATTTGATGGTTTATTATATTTTTAGATTGTTTTTAGCTTTATCTTTTATTGTAATTAGAAGAAATGTTGGAACCCACAACATGCTTGATATACAGGCTTGATTGATGGAATACTACTAACTTTAGACTTAATTTGTACTATTAAATATATAATTTGAATATTCCGATGCCTAATTATAATCAGTTTTCTAATAACGGAAGGATGGATGCTATTTTTTTCAACTAGGAGAAAATTGTTTTTTTTTAAACTGAGAACATTATTGTCATTAATAAGAGAATCTAATCTTAAGGGAAAATAAAAGATCTGTACTATAAATTTACAATATTTATTACGATTAAAATAACCATACTATTTCCATTACACCTTATCACATTTTTTTATTATAAAATATTAGCAGATTTTTTTGTAAATTTACTAATATTTCTTTAACCATTCCAACTAAGCTCTAGGCTTGTGCTGAATATGGTTTACGACAATAGTCGAATGGCGGGATTCGAACCCCCTACCTCGTGGTCGGAAATCCGTACCCTTAACCATTAGGCTATTGACGCTTTCAACATTACATTATATCGGATAAAATCTGATAGTAATTCACGGCGACGACACAACATCGACAACGAACGTTGGTTAAATTAAATGACTAATTGATTAATCACTTTATCCAGCTCCAGGTTTTTGTAGTAAAGTAATATTAAAAAAATATCTTTTATACAATACAATAAAATATATTGGTAATATTTAAATTACAGCTACAGTAGAGTATGATTTACTCATTTTTTTTTTCAGACAAAAAACTCGTCTTATTACAACACTAGCCTTACTAAAATATCGACGTTTATGTCCCCTCACTGATGCTGACACTTGACTTGTAATGAAAGCGCGCCATTCGCGCCAAAGGATTCTAATGAATAATGTCTAAAAGTATGTATGTAGAGTTTTACCGATAAGCAATTAATCTATATTTCTAAATGACGCGAGACCGGTTGTCGCTGTTGCTTGATGTGTGGTCGGTATGTTAGATTTATTATAAGCTGTCGCACGCGACTCCGTCCGCGTAGATGTACAAAAAACTTAATAAGTGTAGCCCACCCATCCATCCACATCACATACATCTAAACATTCGAATTTATAATATTAGTAAGTTAAATGAAGAGCAGCTCTTTAAGGCATAAATTCGAGAAAAAAATTAATAAATAGTATCCTATGTCCGTCTCCTGGCTCTAAGCTACCTCCTCACCAATTTTCAGCCATTTTAGTAAAGCTGTTCTTGAGTTATAAATAGTGTAACTAACACGACTTTCTTTTATATATATAGATTATATTCTTCTAAAAGTTTTTCGACTGATAAAGTCATTTCAATAATCTTTTCTGTTGTAAGCCGAATATTTGTTTGTGTTGAATTATCGCTTATCGATCTTATATTTGTTCCGTTTAATATCTTCGTGAAGACGGGAACGATATCTAAATCATTTTGATTAAAATAATTGTTGATATTAAGAATATTAGATAAATTAGAATCTTCATTATTTGATTTATAACCAAGCCCTTTAATAATACTAATATCCTTATTTGCTATGGGCTTATATTTTGTCTGTTTTAAATCATAAATACCAGAATTTGCTTTTTCTTGGGATAATCTTTTACCGTCTTTGAATATTACGATTTCTTTCTGGTTTGGTTTTTTAACATCAATCTTACCAGTATCGTATTTTCTAGGATTTTCCATAGTAAACATTTTTATATCATCCATTTCTAATATTTGCGGTTTATATTGTAAAATATCAATGAGGTGTTCAAGAAGAACTGGCACCGTTTTAAATATGTTATTGTATTGATAGCGATTGTCGACTGTTCTTTCCGCGAGATCTGGAAACGTATTTTAAAATTAAAACAAGTATTGTTAATATTTTTTAACACAATAGTTAAAATATGCAGTTGATTTTGATAACCTTAACCTTTGAACATCACTAGCTGTTGTCCTCCACTCTGTCCGCGAAGAATAAGAAATAAAATATAATTTCTTTCAGACTAATATGAATCTATGCCAAATTTAAGCAAGGTACATGTAGCCATTCTTGAAATACATCCATCCATCGAAATATCGTATTTATAACATTGGTAAGAAGTAAGATAGTTTTCGCTCGATGTTCTAGATTACGTATAATACTAGCTGTCGCCCGCGACTCCGTCCGCGTGGATATATAAAAAAAACTTAATTAGTGTAGCCTAAGTGTTCTTTCAGACTATGTTCTATACGTATGCTAAATTTAATCGAGATCCGTTCTGCCGTTCTAGAGATATCTTCAAACACCTATCCATCCACATCACATTCATCTAAACATTCGCATTAATAATATTAGTAAGTTAAATAAAAAGTAGCTCTTCAATGCATAAATTCGAAAAAAAAATTAATAAATAGTATCCTATGTCCGTCTCCTGCCTCTAAGCTACCTCTTCACCAATTTTCAGCCATATCGGTAAAGCCGTTCTTGAGTTATAAATAGTGTAACTAACAAGACTTTCTTTTATATATATATATAGAAGATTATCATTGATGCACTCTTATTATTTACTTATAAAATAATTAATTCAACTTTTAACTTACTTGCATAAACAATCGCAAGATTAAATACAAAAATATATGTATATTTCATTTTGTTAACTATATAACACGTCCTGCACCTTTATGATGATTTAACTAACAAAGTACGGCCTACTTTACATACCCTAACCGGAAAGAGAACGTGTAACATGGATGTAAAAGGAAACATTTATCATAATTAGTTAAATTACTGCAAAGCGTACAGTCGAATTCTATTTTCTATCAACAAAAATGAGAAGGCAAATTCTTTGACTGTATTTATTACTTTGTAATTTTTAAAATCCAGGTATTTTTCAATAATAATAACTTAGTAAATACATCAGACCATCTACAAAGATAACTATCATAGTACATTAATCAAATAAGTTTCACTAGCACCATGTTATTAATATTAAATTAAAGACTAAAAACTTTTTTTTTATAAAATAAAAGTAATAGTGTAAATATACTAGCAATGGTTTTTTTTTTAAATTTCGTTTCAACTCATTCGTCAAAATGGCGTCGATAAATCAAGATGTTTGTTTGGTGAAGGGTACGTTAGCGTATGTTTTGCGCATTTCACGTTTAATGGGCGTAGCTGGCGTAGTCTTGGAGCACCGTGGGGATTCCTACATCGTTCGTTTATCTAATGGAACAATGTTATATTGCAAAATATTTTTTTTTATAATTAGTAAGTTAACATATTTGTTATAATTTAATATTCAAATCTATATATATAAAAGAAAGTCGTGTTAGTTACACTATTTATAACTCAAGAACGGCTTTACCGATATCGCTGAAAATTGGTGAGGAGGTAGCTTAGAGTCAGGAGACGGACATAGGATACTTTTTTTTCCGAATTAAGAGCCTTGAATAGCTGCTTTTTATTTAACTTACTAATATTATAAATGCGAATATTTAAATGGATGGATGGGTGGGCTACGCTAATTAAGTTTTTTATATATCCACGCGGACGGAGTCGCGGGCGACAGCTAGAACTCAAGAAAAGCTTTACCGATATGGCAGAAAATTGGTGAAGAGGTAGCTTAGAGCCAGAAGACAGACATAGGATACAATTTTTTATTTTTTTTCCCGAATTTATGCCTTGAAGAGCTGCTTTTTATTTAACTTGCTAATGTTATAAATGCGAATGTTTAGATGGATGTGATGTGGATGGATGGATGGGTGTTTGAAGATATCTCTAGAACGACTGAACGGATCTAGATTAAATTTGTTTAATTGGTTTTAATATAGGCTGTCCCGTTATAATGGATAATTCTTAAACCCCCTATAATCACGGGGGGTCTCTGTCAGATTATTCGTTCATTACGTGACACCTTTATATTTATGTATTGTTATAGATTTAGTGGGATATTTTGGAATGGCTATGGAAATGTTTATGAGAAATGCGACGACTGATTCGAAAATTAGTTCAAGTATAACACATCGTCAACTCAGCACTTTAATAATTCAATTTGTATGGATCAATATATTAGTGACGAAAACGATATTGATATCCTATATGATATTTCGTATTAAACCTCGAATGGAATACATGATACATTGCTTGAAGAAAATACAAAAGGTAAAAAATGATTATACTTCTTATTATATATTTAAAAAAAAATTATTATAATTTAAGCGTCATATATTTGCCATGAATTGTGGCCTGCAGTGCATAATACCTCAGTTATATAGATATTAAAACGTCAATAGCGTAATGGTTAAAGGTACGGGTTTCCGATCACGAAGTCGGGTTTTTGAACGATATTCTTATATGTTTGGGTTAATACATGGTTTCTTAAAGTAGGAGATCACAAACTTCATTAAATAATGACGCTATACACCAGTCTTTCCCAAAGTGGGCGATAATGCCCCCTTGTGGGCGCTGCAGATCTCAAGGGGGTCAAGGAGGGTAAGAGACCCAGAAAGAAAATAAGGGCGCTATGTAGAGGTTGGGGGGGTGATTTGTCATTTTATTTATCTAGGAGGCCTCTTAGACAACGACTGCATCAGCTCTCGACTCCCAACAACAATAAATAATTAATTTAATTTGAAGTTATAGTAGTTTTTAAATATGTGAAAATATGGGGGCACTAAAAAATATTTATTCTCAAAGTGGGCAGTAGACAAAATAAGCTTGGGAATCACTGCTATACACGGGCTGCTTGTAGTATGCCAAATACTAGGCAATAGTAACCCAGAAGCTCGATTAACACTAAGAGTAGATTGGTCAGTGAACATATTTTAAAATGGTAATAATCTTGTTTTTCAGATTCATAAGCGGATCAAAACAAAACCGCAAGACTGCAGGAATCCTTTTATTTTCGTGACTAAGAATTTTTTCATATGCGTCTGCGTCTTAGTGTTCACAAATTTGATTTTAAATATCTTCATTCGTTACGAAAATAAATGTAAGTACTTGACATTAATTAGGACCAAGGCCATTTGTCCACAAACACCGTCACCGTCACGTCAACGAGAACGAATTTTGCGGCGAG